TCTCTTACTGTTTTTGTTTGTGATTCAGAGTATGAGAGCCACAAACTTCGAGCAAAGAAAACATAAGGAAGGCAGCGTATAATTACGTCCCGGCTTAGCAGACTTGCTTACGGATTTTGTTAAGAAGCTACTATATACCGACCGACTTTGGTATTTAGGATCTGCCTTCGCGCTTCTCAGTATGTAAAACTTCTTCTGTTATATAGATATGTAGGTTTGGTATTAAATAATCTCGAAATATTCTCATAGACTTTATTCAAGCAGTGAGCAAAATTTTGTGTTATGACATTGTGTTCAAATGACAGAAAATTTTAACTCGAAATTTTGCAAAATATCTGAGATATCCTACCTTTATGTTAATAATGTGTTGAAGCTTGTTCGCTACTCATTCGTTAAGTCGTCGCGGCAGTGACTGGATCAGGTGATAAAATATCTAAACTAACACATGAGATGCTGCTGAAAAAGTGGATCCTGCAATGCTTCCAAAAAGGGAGCATATGTGGTTGTAAAACTTCGTGGGTATAGCGCTGGGCAGTCATTGTATCTCAAACATTTTATCAGTGTATACATGATAGCAAATATGTTTACAAGTTTTGATTTAAATTCAATAAATTATTCTGGGTGTTGCACTTTATATGTCATTTAAGTATGTTGGTATAATATCGTGTAGAAAGTACAGTGCAATCAGAACTTCTACTGGATATAATTAAATAGTTGATAGTCATTTACATTGTGAAACGCAAGCTTACCAATCGGAATAAAAATACTAACCCAACAAATCAATTAAAAGAGGAGTAGCAACTGATATACCTCGATATTGCATCATTCTCAATCGTCGACGTAATATCAGAGACATGACCCCAAGTTTCACGCCCAACCTTACTTAACTTGCAAGAAAACAAAATTGTTCGATATAACATTCTTGATGATAAGTTTACCAATGAAAATAAAAAGTCCAACCACCAAAATCATCACAAAGCATTTGAAGATAGGTAGCGACTGATGATATCTCAATATTGGATCGTTCTCAGTTGTTCAACCCACTTCCTCAACAGTCCGGAATTATTATTCGTTATAAAATTCTTGATGAGCTGTCATTTTGTGCAAGATAAGTTCACCAATGAATATAAGAACACTAACCACCAAACTCATAACACAGCATTTGAAGATAGGTAGCAACTGATGATATCTCAATATTGGATCGTTTTTGGTGAGTTGTCATTTTGTGCAAGATAAGTTCACCAATGAATATAAGAACACTAACCACCAAAATCATCACAAAGCATTTGAAGATAGGGAGCAAGTGATGATATCTCGATATTGGATCGTTCTCAATCTGTATCGTAACTTTTCTTCTTCAAGCCACTTCCTCAACAGTCCGGAATTATTATTCGATATAAAATTCTTGATGAGCTGTCATTTTGTGCAAGATAAGTTCACCAATGAATATAAGAACACTAATCACCAAACTCATAACACAGCATTTGAAGATAGGTAGCAACTGATGATATCTCAATATTGGATCGTTTTTGGTGAGTTGTCATTTTGTGCAAGATAAGTTCACCAATGAATATAAGAACACTAATCACCAAACTCATAACACAGCATTTGAAGATAGGTAGCAACTGATGATATCTCAATATAGGATCGTTTTTGGTGAGTTGTCATTTTGTGCAAGATAAGTTCACCAATGAATATAAGAACACTAACCACCAAAATCATCACAAAGCATTTGAAGATAGGTAGCAACTGATGATATCTCAATATAGGATCGTTTTTGGTGAGTTGTCATTTTGTGCAAGATAAGTTCACCAATGAATATAAGAACACTAACCACCAAAATCATCACAAAGCATTTGAAGATAGGTAGCGACTGATGATATCTCAATATTGGATCGTTCTCACTCTTTAACGTAACTTTTCTTCTTCAAGCCACCTCCTCAACAGTCCGGAATTATTATTCGATATAAAATTCTTGATGAGCTGTCATTTTGTGCAAGATAAGTTCACCAATGAATATAAGAACACTAACCACCAAACTCATAACACAGCATTTGAAGATAGGTAGCAACTGATGATATCTCAATATAGGATCGTTTTTGGTGAGTTGTCATTTTGTGCAAGATAAGTTCACCAATGAATATAAGAACACTAACCACCAAAATCATCACAAAGCATTTGAAGATAGGTAGCGACTGATGATATCTCAATATTCGATCGTTCTCACTCTTTAACTTAACTTTTCTTCTTCAACCCACTTCCTCAACAGTCCGGAATTATTATTCGATATAAAATTCTTGATGAGTTGTCATTTTGTGCAAGATAAGTTCACCGAGGAATATAAGAACACTAACCACCAAACTCATAACAAAGCATTTGAAGATAGGTAGCAACTGATGATATCTCAATATTGGATCGTTTTGGTGAGTTGTCATTTTATGCAAGATAAGTTCACCAATGAATATAAGAACACTGACCACCAAACTCATCACAAAGCATTTGAAGATAGGTAGCGACTGATGGATATCTCAATATTGGATCGTTCTCAGTCTTTAACGTAACTTTTCTTCTTCAACCCACTTCCTCAACAGTCCGGAATTATTATTCGATATAAAATTCTTGATGAGCTGTCATTGTGTGCAAGATAAGTTCACCAATAAATATAAGAACACTAACCACCATACTCATAACAAAGCATTTGAAGATAGGTAACAACTGATGATATCTCAATATAGGATCGTTTTTGGTGAGTTGTCATGTTGTGCAAGATAAGTTCACCAATGAATATAAGAACACTAACCACCAAACTCATAACACAGCATTTGAAGATAGGTAGCAACTGATGATATCTCAATATTGGATCGTTTTTGGTGAGTTGTCATGTTGTGCAAGATAATTTCACCAATGAATATAAGAACACTAACCACCAAACTCATAACAAAGCATTTGAAGATAGGTAGCAACTGATGATATCTCAATATTGGATCGTTTTTGGTGAGTTGTCATTTTGTGCAAGATAAGTTCACCAATGAATATAAGAACACTAACCACCAAAATCATCAGAAAGCATTTGAAGATAGGTAGCGACTGATGATATCTCAATATTGGATCGTTCTCAATCTTTAACGTAACTTTTCTTCTTCAACCCATTTCCTCAACAGTCCGGAATTATTATTCGATATAAAATTCTTGATGAGCTGTCATTGTGTGCAAGATAAGTTCACCAATGAATATAAGAACACTAACCACCAAAATCATCACAAAGCATTTGAAGATAGGTAGCAACTGATGATATCTCAATGTAGGATCGTTTTTGGTGAGTTGTCATTTTGTGCAAGATAAGTTCACCAATGAATATAAGAACACTAACCACCAAAATCATCACAAAGCATTTGAAGATAGGTAGCGACTGATGATATCTCAATATTGGATCGTTCTCACTCTTTAACGTAACTTTTTTTCTTCAACCCACTTCCTCAACAGTCCGGAATTATTATTCGATATAAAATTCTTGATGAGCTGTCATTTTGTGCAAGATAAGTTCACCAATGAATATAAGAACACTAACCACCAAACTCATAACACAGCATTTGAAGATAGGTAGCAACTGATGATATCTCAATATAGGATCGTTTTTGGTGAGTTGTCATTTTGTGCAAGATAAGTTCACCAATGAATATAAGAACACTAACCACCAAAATCATCACAAAGCATTTGAAGATAGGTAGCGACTGATGATATCTCAATATTGGATCGTTCTCAGTCTTTAACGTAACTTTTTTACTTCAACCCACTTCCTCAACAGTCCGGAATTATTATTCGATATAAAATTCTTGATGAGCTGTCATTTTGTGCAAGATAAGTTCACCAATGAATATAAGAACACTAACCACCAAACTCATAACACAGCATTTGAAGATAGGTAGCAACTGATGATATCTCAATATAGGATCGTTTTTGGTGAGTTGTCATTTTGTGCAAGATAAGTTCACCAATGAATATAAGAACACTAACCACCAAAATCATCACAAAGCATTTGAAGATAGGTAGCGACTGATGATATCTCAATATTGGATCGTTCTCAGTCTTTAACGTAACTTTTTTACTTCAACCCACTTCCTCAACAGTCCGGAATTATTATTCGATATAAAATTCTTGATGAGCTGTCATTTTGTGCAAGATAAGTTCACCAATGAATATAAGAACACTAATCACCAAACTCATAACACAGCATTTGAAGATAGGTAGCAACTGATGATATCTCAATATAGGATCGTTTTTGGTGAGTTGTCATTTTGTGCAAGATAAGTTCACCAATGAATATAAGAACACTAACCACCAAAATCATCACAAAGCATTTGAAGATAGGTAGCGACTGATGATATCTCAATATTGGATCGTTCTCAGTCTTTAACGTAACTTTTTTACTTCAACCCACTTCCTCAACAGTCCGGAATTATTATTCGATATAAAATTCTTGATGAGCTGTCATTTTGTGCAAGATAAGTTCACCAATGAATATAAGAACACTAATCACCAAACTCATAACACAGCATTTGAAGATAGGTAGCAACTGATGATATCTCAATGTAGGATCGTTTTTGGTGAGTTGTCATTTTGTGCAAGATAAGTTCACCAATGAATATAAGAACACTAACCACCAAAATCATCACAAAGCATTTGAAGATAGGTAGCGACTGATGATATCTCAATATTGGATCGTTCTCACTCTTTAACGTAACTTTTTTTCTTCAACCCACTTCCTCAACAGTCCGGAATTATTATTCGATATAAAATTCTTGATGAGCTGTCATTTTGTGCAAGATAAGTTCACCAATGAATATAAGAACACTAACCACCAAACTCATAACACAGCATTTGAAGATAGGTAGCAACTGATGATATCTCAATATAGGATCGTTTTTGGTGAGTTGTCATTTTGTGCAAGATAAGTTCACCAATGAATATAAGAACACTAACCACCAAAATCATCACAAAGGATTTGAAGATAGGTAGTGACTGATGATATCTCAATATTGGATCGTTCTCAATCTTTATCGTAACTTTTCTTCTTCAACCCACTTCCTCAACAGTCCGGAATTATTATTCGATATAAAATTCTTGATGAGTTGTCATTTTGTGCAAGATAAGTTCACCGAGGAATATAAGAACACTAACCACCAAACTCATAACAAAGCATTTGAAGACAGGTAGCAACTGATGATATCTCAATATGGGATCGTTCTCGATCCTTAACGTAATATTAGGCATCACTCTCGGTTTCACGCCCAATTTTGCCTCTTTGACCCACTTGCTCAACAATCCAACTGAGTGTATTCTTGTAATAAGCAGATTGATAGGTTCTGTTATTGAAAATCCCCTCTTGAAGAGCATGTTCATAGGCAATGAAGTGATCTTGTCCATACAGTGAAGCAAAGGTTCATGGTCTTTGGATACTGTTTTACCAGCAATATGCTTTATAATAGTATGAGTGCCGCATATCGCAGCGTTTCTCCTGATAGTAACATTCTTCAGACAGTTTTTGTAATCTTGACATTCTATCCATTTGTCTTTGACCATCTCGTAGTCCACTCCTTCGAAGTATCTGATGATGTTCGGTTGGAAATAGGTGGTGAGGTTGTACCTGTACACATCTTCCAATGTCTGGTATTTTTCTTCATATGCGAAGTTCGCGAGTTTGAAGATCAGGAAGGTTTGGAGGATGATGCTGACGTAGAAACCAAAGACGACAGAGTTGATGAGTACGAAACGTAGAGAAGGATGTCGTATTTGGTACATGAAGGGTACACCGATCAAAGAACAGTACACCTGAAATTGAAGAATTGAAGAAACTTAGCAAGCTCAACTATTATATATAATAATTATATATTATAAACTGTCAGATTGCAGTTCTTTATATCAAATGGCGATTTATTGTAGACTGTGGTTTTTGAAAACGTTGTATTGCATTGATTCTGCAATCACTTTCTGATATCCTTAATGCCTGTTTTGGGTGGGCATCTTCAGGGGCAGGAATCCAATTAAAATTGTGACACATCAGCAGAACCAAACACAATAAAATAACAACATTGCTCTGCCTTGAAAGTTGGGACTAAGTATAACAATGAAATTATTGGTACGAAAATTTCACACCTACCTGAAAAATGGCTTTGAATATCCCATATTTCCGGCTAGCCTGGATTCCGAATATCCAGGTTATGCAAGTTAGGAGTACCGTCATCCCGAATATAGCTAAAAGACTCGTCCCATCTACAGAAAGGTTGTCCAAATTGTTGGTGACGATCGGATATCTGGGCAAGCACCACACCAAATCGTCTTGGTAGAAAGAGTCGGTAGCATCGAAATAAAAAGATCTAGGAGCGGTCACCACATAGCAACCTAGAGCCACATCTATGTTGCCCCGCTTCAGAGATAACAAGTTACCTGAAATAATAAGTATTCAAATATATACCTGTACTTAAAAAAAATAAAAGACTTGTTTCTTTTTGACTTTCTAGAGGCTCTAGTGAGTTGTTGGAAAAATCATTGTAAGGGGTTTGTAGAGGGTGGGGGAAGGTATATCTCATTTTTTGACGGCAGTATATTTTTAGGCTTCCAACCCAGGAAATTTTGCGGTCGCCAGACTTGAAAGTCAAGACCATTTACATCAAGGTCATTCGCGTTTCAACGTTACTCGCGTTTGGAGGTTATTCACGTTTCAAGGTCACGCGGTTTCAAGGTTATTGAAATTTCATGATCGTACGCTGTCAATGCTGGCACCCGAGGCTGTTCCAGAACATACAAACCCTATTATTATTACAACTCATTTGACACATCATCGATTTCCACGCATATTTGCCGTTTAAACTTGAAGAACTACGGCATCCTTCATGCGTCATGTTCTGTATGCATCTAATTGCATCGCCAGCGTTCGCGATCTCGAGTTATAGGGAATCAGGCTGCAGTAGCGGCAATACAAGTTTGCGCGAAAGATTTTATAAGGAATTGGACTGCAAATCAGTCGATCGCCACCTGCTCAGACAGTGAGGTGGCAGTTAATTGTAAAGGAAAAACCTAGCGTGGGGTCTATCTAGTACCAACTTGTTTGGTTGACTTGATCCATTTTTTTGTTATACAGGGGGACTAGCATTTTTTGTTTATACTTACCTGCAGCCGTACCGTTCATATATATCTCTCCACTATCGTACGCTTTAAAGTACGAAACGCTAAACTGGAACTTCTTCGCCAGTAAATTCAGCAAATTCACTTCGATTCCGTATTTGGCGTGCGGATAGTCTTTATAGTGCAGAGATCTATTCTTCATGTTTATGACGTAAGGTGGCACGTTAGTATATCCGGCTTTTATAGTGCAGTTGTTCAGACTGGTTGGAAGATGGTTATCTAGGATAGTTTTATTTTTGGTGAAAATACCGTATGAGCAAGTGTCTAGCATTTCGATTCTTTTTGGCGGTTCCGCGCAGTACTCGGAGGTGAACGGGTACCAAGTGTAGATGTCAAATGTCTGGAATAAAATGCAGTCATTGACTCATTGGAAGCAGTTTGAATGCTCGTCGATATTAGTATCTGTAAGAATCTAGAAATTGTTCTGTTTCAATCAAGTATCTAAACCCCAGTGATCATTCTCTCATGGAGATCAGCGAGACACGTTGTTGCACAAATGTTGTCCCTCTTTTATATTATGTGAAGCTTTCGACTTTAAACAACGCCACTCAACTGACGATTTTTATTTTAATTACTCTTAGCATTTATGCGATGAAAAGTTCAATTATTTAATCATTATTAACAAAATTAAATAAAAGTAACTCAAATCGGAGTCTAAAGAGAATTCTCACATTATTTCTGTTGACATATACTAAGTGACATATAAATCCGAACACCCAGTTTAAATGGTTTTATTTTAATAAAAGTTGGTGAATGTATTTATCTTACTGTAAATAACAAGTGAAAAAATTTTCAGCCTTATCAGTTGGACATTCCGGTTTTTATACTGCTTTTTTTTAATTCACTAACGCTCTAAAAATGAATATTTCAGCCGCAGTAAAGAATCAACGTTGGCGCATTTTGGTTCTTGACATCCTTTACGATCGGTTACGATGCCTAGAGTACGGAGACCTGTACGATTTCGTCAACTTAGTGAGTTTGATAGGGGCCGTATAGTGGGACTTCGGGAAGCTGGACTTTCTTTTCGGGCAATTGCAGTTGTAGTGTAGACACTGTGGTTAGGTGTTGTCAGGCATGGCTTCGAGAAGGCCGTACGCAAAGAGCAAGGGGCACTGGACGCCGCCGTAGAACAACAGACCGTGAAGATCACCGCCTAAGATTATTGGCCTTAAGGGACCGTTTCTCCACTACCAGGTCCATTGCAAATGAATGGTTTGCAGAACACGGAAGACCTATTGGCATGCGAAGTGTTTACCGACGAATGAGAAGTTTGGCTTGTTTTCATACCGGCTACACTGGGTCCTCCCTTTACTCGAGAACACCGACGTAATCGCCTTGAGTGGTGCAGACAACGGTCACTCTGGGATCAGTATTGTCTTTAGTGACGAGTCTCGATTTTGTTTAGGCATGCACGATGGTCGTGCCAGGGTTAGAAGGCGACGTGGTGAAAGGAGGAGTCCACAGTTTTTTGTTGAAAGACATGTTCATCACACTGTTGGAGTTATGGTTTGGGGTGCTATAGCTTATGGTTCCAGGTCACCTTTAATCTTCATCAGAGGTAACATGAATGCGCAGCGTTATATCCACGAAGTTCTAGAACCCCATCTTTTACCCTATCTTGACACCCTGGCAGATCCAACTTTCCAACAAGATAATGCCCGATCACATGTTGCAAGAGTCACAATAGACTTCTTTCAACATAATGATGTCACATTGTTACCATGGCCACCAAGATCTCACGACTTATCCCCAATTGAGCACGTGTGGGATATGATGGGTAGGAGATTGCTCAATTTGCAACGTCCTCCTCAGACTCTAGAAGCACTTCTAGAGGAGTTGGTGGTTGCCTGGAATGAGATACCACAGGAGGACATTGACCACCTGATCAGAAGCATGCCTAGGCGCGTTGGAGAATACGTAGCACATCAGGGTGCATCCACACATTATTAAAGGTCAAAGGGCTTTAAAGCAGTGCAATCATTTTGAAATTTTTATCATTTACTTATTATGCTTCATTAAGTACTTATACAAAATTTTATTAAAATAAAACCATTTAAACTGGGTGTTCGGATTTATATGTCACTTAGTATATTTTCTTACGTTAGGCGATGTTTCCCGTAGGAAGTCACAAATATGTTGCTGTTAATGAGGAACGGTACTTACTTTTTGCATAATTGAAATTTGAAAAACGTCTTTACAAATATGATCTAGTGAGAAAAAAAGGTCAATATTTTCTGTGGCTAAGCAGAGAACAGGGATTTAATTTTTGTTTTGTAAAGGAAATAGAAACCTTCTTCCAGGTGCCCTGGCAAATATCTATTCGATTCTGTTGAAATTTGGCAATATTATTTGTTGTATTAAGAGGATAATTTAGCCCTAAATAGGCTAAAATTATTGGGCCCAGTGGCGTCCCGGGGAACACGTTAGCGATTATTATTGGCAAAAAAATGTACGCCCCTGGCCTTTTTGTAACTTTAATATTTGCAACTTTTTCATCTCTTGTATTTTTCCGTATCTCACTTCTTTCTCGAGGAAAAAAATAAAAACCGTTTTATTGCATGTCACTGTACAAAAATGGTTTATTAATTTTTGCTTAATAATTCACAAAAAAAAATCATGCAGAGATGAAATTTTGTTTTCCAAGGCACTTGTGATTTTTTTTAGCAAAAATTAATAAACCAAGTTTGTCCAGTGACATGCAGTGTTTATAGACGCTTTTTTCACATTTTTTAACAAGGAATAATATTCGAGATACTTCGAAGAAAATATAAATACCTGCGAAGAATTCTGACTAGGCAACAAAATAACGCCGTTGGTCAGATGTTGCTCCCACATCAACTTGACTATAGTGTTTATATTTTTCCATGCATCTGCAGCAGTAATCAAAACTATCACGTAGTAACCTTGGGAGTTCAGCGAATATTCTCTGGAAACCACGTCTCTTTCCACGTCTCTCACAAAAAATATAAAATTCGAAATCCGTTCGAAAGCCAAGTTTTGGAAAACGTCGTTGTAATCTTTCCCCGTATTTTTGATGACGAAACTCCATTTGTCCATCGTCATCAATTCTTGTATCACAATTTCGTACACGTTCTCAGCGCCAACGGTTAGATTTTTCGGCAAAGAGAACATTACCGAATTTTGCTCTTTAAAATATCTTTGGCCGATTTCGAGAAGGCATCCGCTCAACGAAATACTGGTGTTCGTGATTTTTACCGACGTCATGGGAGATACCACGGTTTGTAGTATCGTTAGTAAACACAGATGCATACTGAAAGAAAAAAAAAACGATTAGATTATCTCTATACTAAATCGATGGAGCTACAAAAGTGCTTTGACTTGAAAGTTAGGACTTTCCTTTTTAGGAACAGCTACGTTTGAAAATAACCATCATCAAATTTATTTTTTATAAAAAAACCCTGTATATTTTTTTATAGGAAGTCAACGATGTTACATTTATTTTCTTGCGCTTTTCCTGTTTTTTTTTTAATTGTTCAAGTAGGCATTGCAAACAAATGCTTGACTTGACGTAAATACCTGTCAAACGCAGACACAAAATTGAAAACACCATAGCAGTTTCATTACTTTTTTGATATTTCTTGAAATAAATTGAAAAAATAAAAACGATTTGGCCAAATATTAGCTTTTCCCATATACCTCGGTAAGCCCTGAAGTTTCTCAACTTAAGTTGTATCTCCCATGTATTGAGACCCCTATACATAGGATCCTCATCTTGGACACGCTGTATAAATAAACTTACTCAGCTCTGATGGAAATATCGAGGACGACGTTCTAAATACTCGGATGCACTCGCGGAGTATCAATAGGATCTTGAAGATGCCCAGAGTAAACTAACATCAAAGCGATATTGCCTGGGAGCGAGGCAGTTCGGATTTGCTTATTTAGAGTTTTTGGGTGCTAAGAAAACTTGCTTATTATTATACCCGACCCAGCTTTAAGGACACGTTCTCGAACTCTGCCTCTAGTGCCTACTGAATGGCTAGCGGAAGCCAGAACGAATTAATGTGTTTAGATTAACGAGACGAATCATAACATGTGGCGCTAACATCAAAAACACAATCATCATACTCGAGCGCGATTCCTGCAATAACACGAGCACGCGGCTTTAGTTAATGATTATTACGTAAATATTATTGAGTCATTTGCAGCAGTGGCGATAATGATGTTTTTAGTTCGCTATTAAAGCGAACGACGCACTTGCAACATATAAATACTCGCCACTTTTTCTGACCGTGGACTAGTTCATTAAAAAAAGTTGCATGCTTAAAATGCCTCAACTATGTTTCGACTTGTAGTTGCTACACATAAGTGTATGTCAGGCAATAATAAGCATGTTTTAACACGCTTTTATTAGCTTGGCCTTTATATATATATATATACGTAGTCGTGCCATAAGTTCTGTCCCATGATAATCTCATGATAAAAATGAAACAAGATAAGATATATTTATATGAAAGATATTATTTATTCGACAACATTTTTAGAATTCATAATCAAACAGTTTTATTCAAAATGTCCCCCCTTGGCCTTCACACACTGCTTCAATCTCGCGGGCCACTCATCTATCACTGCACGCACAGCTTCCAAAGGAATAGCTGCCGCTGATCGGATCAAATCCGCTTTCAGGGACTCGATATTACGGTGGGCTTTGGAGCAGGCCAACTGCTCTAGCAGGTCCCACAACTTGTAGTCTAAAGGATTGAGGTCCGGACTCCCTGAGGGCCAATCTTCCGCAGCAATGAACTCTGGCACATTGCTTTCCAGCCAGCGCTGCGTACTCTTAGCCTTGTGAGCGGGGGCGGAATCCTGCTGGTAGACCCAGTGTTGGTTGGCAAACAATGTACCACTTAAAGGCTTGACGATAGGATCCAGTATGTCGCTCTGATAGTTTGCCGCTTTTGTTTTCACGCCCTATTTACAGAAATGGAGCTGAGTGACCCCTTCGTAGGACACCCCCCACCAAACCATGACTGACGCAGGGTGGTGGCCTCTCTCAACTCTCGGAATGATCTCCGAAGCTATCCTGTGAACTCCTTGCATACACTTTGTCATTTTGTCGGTTGAATTTTTCTTCTATGGTGAAGATTTTCTCATCCGTGAACAAAATCTTTCGGAATCCCCCAGCTGCGTACCTCTCCAAGAGCTTCTTGGATCTTGTCGCCCTGATGTGTCGCAAGGTGGCCGTAAGTCGCTGGCCCGTACGTCTCCGGTAAGCCCCTAGCCCTAGGTCTTGTTTAATGATGCGCGACATCGTCCGGACAGGAATCTTCATTTCCCTGGATAGGATCTTCTGCTTCCGGAGTGGATTCCTTTGAATCCTGGCTTTTACGGCTTTGATGGCTGCTGGAGTCCTTACTTGACGAGGTCTTCCGCTTCTTGGCCTGTCATCAACAGAGGACGTCTCATTGTACCGCTGAATGGTCCTAGACACAAATTTACGCGATATTTGAAGGCCGCGTAAGAGTTCAGAAATCTGACTAGCACTGTGATTACACTTATGTAAAGCTATCACTGCAATACGGTTCTCTGCCTTGCCCCACTCCATCGTTATGCTTCGAGAGATCAATACAAACTGAGGTATATGTAATTACCCGAAAAGCGCTTAATCAACTGACACCACAATGTAAACAATCGGACAAGTATTAACAGGTCTACACTTGTTTGAAAACGAGGGACAGAACTTATGGCATGACTACGTATATATATATACAGGGTGACTTTGAAGTTGAGTCATTAATTTTCAGATAATGATTGTACATATAGAAGGAAGATAAACCAAAATATGTGTGTAAAAATAAAAAAAAAATAAAAAAAAAATTTTACCTTGTTTTATAAAGTATCCTCCCGACAAGTATTTCAGTGCGGACCTGTATTTGATCGTGAGGTCCCCTGTGAAGTCTTAAGTCACCTGATTCACGAGCCCGTTGTACTACATTAACAAAGGCACGAGGGGTTGGTTGCACTCGATTGGGAAACCGATCCGCATAAACATGTGCCATTTTTATTTCGTTTGAGCCACGCAACAGACACTATTCACACGCGACTGAAACTGACTGTATGTATAACTGAACTGAATTGTAATCGAAAAAAACATCGTTCCAAATTCTTTCGCTTTTTTGTTTCCGATGCGATGAACCGTTGTTGCCAAACACGAACACATGATATTATTGAGACAGGGCGGTACTCAAACTTCCAAAGGGCTATAACTTTGTTACTTTAATTTTACCAGAAAAATGGTAAAGGAAAAAAACATTTCTTTTGATCAGATCTACACACTGTTAAAATAAATGACTCAACTTCGAAGTCACCCTGTATATATATAGTTCATAGTTAATTGCCTTAACTGTTAGGAGAATATATCCTTTAATTTCTTTGGGTAGTTGTTTTTTATTCGTCGACTGTGTTCCCTTCACTGTTGTTTAAAAAAAAATTCAGAAACAATCTCGCCGACTTAGTAAGTAAATAATTAAACTATTTTAATAATTGTTTCCCGCTCCAGACGATGAAGAAAAAATTCTTCGAAAGCTTGAGATTTCAAGTTATAACTTATATATATATATATATATACATATATATAGGTGAAAAATTAAAGCTTCCGCCTTTTGTTGGGTACTTCGACAAAATTTAAGCAAGGAGGACTCTTTATACTTTTATTCTCTCTAGCTTTCAATGGTGTTTGCCGTCATCATCAGGAGCTGCAATTACATTGATAACAGTAGCAACAATTGTGTAAAATGAATTTAAATTAACTTACAGTAGTATGTGAGGATGTTGCTAATTGTTGTTTACGTTAAGGATGAGGGAAACACCCAGTAACATGGTGAAAGCTGGATACATGGTTCAATGGTCAAATGTATACAAACTACACACAGCTGTATGACAAGAACAAGTTAATAACAGATTAAAAATATTTAAAACGAAAGTTAAGCATTACATCGTGAAGCCAAATGCAGGGCATAGAATCGTGAGTAAGATGAACCTTTTGACAGATGGCCGAAGGTTAGCAGTGTCCGTGTAATTGTTGCTACTGTTATCAATGTAATTGCAGCTCCTGATGATGATGGCAAAGACCATTGAAAGCTAGAGAGAATAAAAAAGTATAACGAGTCCTCCTTGCTTAAATTTTGACAAAGTACGCAACAAAAGGCGGAACCTTTAATTTTTCACTTTACTGGTCTCAGCGCTACAATGACCACGTTTCAAGATATATATATATATATATATATATATATATATATATATATATATATATTGATATTTCCTGATATTGGGCCCGTTGGGAATAAACTCATTATTATTAAAGGCTAGAGTATAAAATGTCGTATTTCCAATCGAAATGTTTTTTTTTTTTAGTTTTTAGTATCTAGTAAATATTTTTTTTAATAATTTTTGTTTTGTTCTATATATTAATTCATTTCTGTGTACTTGTGAGCCTTTAGTAGACTATAGACGTTATAAAAATTATCAGAACAAATCGAACCAACTTGTAGCGGTACCAGGTGACTTGCTTTCCGCTTTCCGGCCACGATACGCGCCCGACTTGCGCCTCATTGAAATTTCCTTCCTCAACTGTAGCATGGACGACCCGGAGATCCAGGAGACCGTAGAGGCCATCCTGGGGCCCGGGGCGAAGGTCGTCGATTGCGAGAAAAAGTCGTCGATCAAGGAGGAGGAGACTCTGTACATCAACGGGATACCGGTGACCTTGGAGGGGAGAGACGGCATTGCCATCAAGCAGGCTCTGATCACCGGACAGGTATTTGTGGGATGGAGCATCGGACGTTTGTGGGCAGGGTGAAATGGGCTTTTCTTTGTGAAATTAAACTACCTTAAGAACCAACAATTCTGCTAAATGAGCGCCATCTATCACCAGAATCCATCACTGCGGAGAGCGCATACGAGTAGTTGCGATTTAATTACCCAGTCACCATGTGACCGCCAGATGGCCGACGATTCTGGCTGTATAGTAGGTGAGGTCTACGTGTCATTAAATAAGCGTTAATAATTGTGGAGACCACTTCATGATACAGGCTGAGTCCTGTAGTGTTTAAAATTTAAAGTAGCGGTTATAGAGACATTGAAGTCTAAAATGTCATACAGGGTTTGTCCGGAAAGTAATAGGACTGAGTCGATTTAAAAAAATTTATTGAGCCAATCGTTACAATTCTTTAAAAACTTTCAAAATAGGCTCCTTCTGCGTCGATGCAGCGCTTTCCAAGCATTGAAGGCGTCACGGAAGGCATTCTCCGGAATAGCCTTGAGAGCCGCGGTGCATGCTGCTTGGATCCCCTCTGTCGTCTCAAAATGCTTGCCTTTCCAGACCACCATCGTACTGGGCTTGAAAATAAAGTTACTTGAAACCCTAAAGCTTGATTTGACTTGATTTTTTTATTGTTCTACTTGAGGTCAAGCATTTCCACACTACTTGATACTTGATGCCAAATTATATTTTTGTTCTACTAAAGGCCTTTTTATTTGTATAACCGATGAACCGTGTTTTGTATTTTAACGCAAATTATCACGACCGCTAATCTGGAACTATTCATTGATATACTACGAAAAATATATTTTGTTTAATATGTTTTGTTATCGCTGACTTAATTTCAAGTCAGGTTCAAGTAGCTGGAAGGTCAAGACAAGTAGTGAATCACTGTTTGAAATAGAGATCAATAATTAGAGAGAATAGCATGGTAATTTGTCCAAGAAATTGTTTAATTATAATGCTATCAGGTTCCCCCGTGACTTATGTTAAGAGGCAGCCTACAGACATGATGACTAAAGTGTTCCGCTCGTATACTTGCTAACATTCATGATCGTAAGCAAAAAACCACCGTCTACATAGTTGTATGCAGAGAAAAACCCATTTAGCACGTATTTTACCCGCAAACGATCCAAGCACAAGGCAATAGCCAGAAAGCAACGGAACTGACGATACTTAACTGCTTCCAACAGTCTCTAATGCAGCCATCTCGGCCGATTCAAGCACTGACTAGCCAGCGTATTATGCGCCACTTTAAAACGCCAATTGGGAATACGGTTTCAATACGAGTTACGTGTTTTTCCTTATATGTTCAGCTTTATACGATGCCTTGCCTCGCCATATTAGCGGTGGAAAAAATGCCAAGACGGCGTACGTTCATCAGAAATTCCAACTACAGAATAGGTGTGCTTTTTTCGATAGATGTTACAAGCTTGAAAAATACGAGATTTCGTTTTTAGTACGAGGGCCATTTTTAAGCACACAACTAACAATTATTTATGTTAAAGAGTCCTAACAACGTTTACAGAACTACTTTTATAAAACAACAATGTCGCTATAAACGTTCTAACAACGCTTATAAACCCAGTTATAAAACAGTTTTATTGAAAACAGTTGCAGAACTAGAATAACAAAATTTTATAAAAGTTGTTTCTTGTTTATATTAGCACTAAAATTTTTTGTTCTTAACTTGCAGCCACTGAGAAGAATTTGTTTTTAACGATCTTTGATACAACAAAAAGCAAGCATTACATCTTTTCCAACAAATCTCTTCCTGTTGCGTCTGTATCCTTGCAGCCAAGCGTTGTCATGAAGCAGAAAGAGGGCAGGCCTCGCCGACGGTTTTAAATACACATCATCAATAGTATTTCACAGTATCTTTCAACATTTATAACAGGTCGAAATGTTTTGCGTTGAAACACTGAATTACCGAACTGATTCCACAATTGGCGTGTTTATTGAGTAGCAATCAACACTTGAAGAGACGTGAGACGTAACGCCGGTATAGAGAAAGATTAGCCGAGAGTGTCTGAGGTTGAACTGACGTCGCGAGTCAGGATGCGCGGTCACGATGCGCAATCGGATCTTACTTTTAAAGTAGCCCTCGTATCGTGTGAGTTTGGAAAATTGAAAAAGGCACAGATTCTAGAGATAGCTTAAAATGAGCTATATTACAGATAAAATACCAGTTCCGTTGTTTTCAGATGTGACAGATACAAGTGCCTTATTGTAATCCAATATCCATAGGCGCCCGCAGGAAGGGGGGGGGGATTAGATGTCGGTGAGAGGAAGCTTTTTGTTTATTGTGAAAGCAGCGGGGGTTAATTGGAGAATACTTCGAAAAACAAAGTCATTTAAAACTTCCTACCGTGTTGTTTTATTTCCATATGCAAAACTTAAAAGAATGTCGTTCTATAGCAAGAACGCAAGCATCATAGGAGTGAAGTATTTGCCGCCATTTTGATAATAAAATATCTCGCTAAGTGCTAATCGTAAAAAGTAATAGAACATTATTTATAGGAAATTAAATTCTGTACAATCTGGTTCTATAGGATTCTGCCGTGTGGTCAACAGTTCATGAGAAATTAGAGTAGAGAGCTACATGTAACGTTTTCGCTTATAATGGCTAAACAAACTAAGCGTGTAGTCTACCAGTCTGTACTGTCATTCTTACCTAAAAAAATAATTCGTGTAGAAACGGTGTTTGCGGAATTAAATTCGTTATCATGTTGTTTCTATGAAACTGTTTCGTATAGTCAACAATTTACGAATAACTCAAAGATAAAGCTATGTCGAATATTTTATATAAAAACTACTACCGAATTTGTAGGTAATAAAAAAAAATGTATCTTATGTGTTTTCACAGCGTGATGGTTCTTAAAAGAGTCAACGTACGTATGGCTGGCGACAATTTTGAATTTTCAACTTTTACATCTTCAAGAACCACCAAGCTATAGAACAAACGTATGAACCTTTTTTGTAACAAATTTTATTCTTAATTAAAAAAGATTTCGTTCTTTATATGCTTAAATTGTTAGTTTACCCATTATAAGCGAAAATAAGAAAATATAATTACACGAATTTCCCGTGATCTGTTGAATATATGGAAGAATTCTATAGAACTAAATGGTAGAGAATTTAATTCTTTTACAAAATTGCTTCTACAGGGTGCGTCATATATTACTTTTTTTCTATTTGAAAAATCAACACGCTTTTTACGAGGTGAAATCGATTTTTTTTTATTGATAAATGAAGGTTGGTTTATCCCATTTATGCATGAAAAATAACATCAGTCATGTGACCACCGCGGCTTCGTTTTCAGGCCAACATCCCAACATCAAAATCTTCCCCAGAATAATCGGGTCTATGGCCGCAATTTCAGTCCGAATATTGCGCTTTAGGTCTTGAATTGTTCGGGGATCATTCGCATACAAAATCCCCAAAGAAAATAGAGGTGTTAAATCGCACGATCTCGGGAGGCAGCTGACATCTGAATTTCGTGAAATTATGCGGTTTTGAAATTTCGTGTGCAAAAAGGCGGATGTTTGGCGCGATGTGTGAGCCGTTGCTCCGTCTTGATGAAACCAAAGATCGTCGCCACTAATACGATCCAATTGTGACCACAACAAGTCTGTTAACATGCCGCGTTGACGGTAATGGCCGTTTCTTCGGCATCTTCAAAGAAGAATGGTCCAACGATGCCACCAGCCCATAATCCGCACCAAACAGTCACTTTTTCAGGATGGAGAGGTTGTTCATGATATTGGTGTGGATTTTCTGCCCCCCCAGAATCTGCAATTTTGCTTATTTACGTACCCATTGAGGTGAAAATGAGCCTCATCAGAAAAGGGCACTTTGGCCGAAAATCCGTCTTCTCTTTCCAGCATCCAATTAACAAAAACACGTCGCTGTTGATGATCTGTCGGCTTCAAAACTAGTACGAAGTTTGCGAAAAGTATTTTTTATATTTCGACCGTTTTCGTAATGAGTTTGGATAACCAAAATGCGTTGTTGTGTTATAAACGAATCCATGACTATAAATGGCATACCTTTGACAGTTCATTTATACATACCACATACTTTTGACTCACATTGTAACACATAAACTTATAGTTAAAAAAAAGTAATAGATGACGCACCCAGTATTGTTTTTTTACATAGAATTGATACTTTACGGGATATTTGAACAAAATGCTAATGCCCCGCTTCTATAAAGATGCCAGTTTAAATTTTTCGTCAGAATTCTAACGATATCAATAAGAATAAAATTATATTGCACTTTTTGTAAGAAATAAATCTTCGGATTATGACCTAATCGTATGTATCGGTCACCTAACCGTCCCCTTAAAAACAACCCCTCATGTTCGCATTGCTCCGTAAGGTACCCCCGTGCGATCTGCTGAACACCCTGCTGATCAAAACGGGCATCCTGAAGGCTCCAGTGAAACTAGACACGTCCTTGAGCATAAAATCGACTACGGTGACAAAAGAGGAAGTTACAGTGTCCAGACAGGGACGAGTGGTGGACGAGAGAAGTAGGGAAGTTAAGGAGCAGAACGTGTACTCGAGCGCGCTTACAGAAGTTTTCGAACCTATCAAGGTACAGAAGGAATAGTTATTATATACAGGGTGGCCCATACGTAACTGATTGGTTTGTACCTTGAATATTCCTAGAATGAAATAAAATACGCGTAATTTAAATCAGTCAGTTATATATTGGCCACCCTGTACACGGCGGGTTAGCTGTTCGTCTGAAACACGAATTGTACAGGATCCGTATTAAACTCCGCTTTCACCGATCTAACAGCCGAGATGGGATATATTTTTTGTGACTTAAAATATGTATATTAGGAAATAATAATAATATCGTCTTTACTGATAAAGCTGCATAAGTGGGATTCATTATGGGGAAGTTTAGCTAAAGCTATTCTTACACTTAACTATATGAATACAAAACAAAGATGTTAAAGGAGATATAAAATAGTAAATTTATTCTGTTGCAGTTTCAGATCAGTATTCGAACCAATTTAACTGTTACTTAATCGCTACACACACACAGCTAAAGAGCACGTAAACTAACTCACATAATATGTATTAATAACAAAAAAAAGTTTTTCAATTCAATTCAATTCAATGGACTTTATTGTAACATAATTATGTATCCTTACAAATGGCGAAGTCTGGCCAATGGCCATTTATACTTAACCATAAATGTCAATGCTTATTACTCCCTTCAAAATAAAATAAAAAAAAAACTGAAAAAGAAAAGGAAAAAGAAGAATAATAGTAAAAGAAGAATTAATAAATATGACATAATGCGTACGATTAGAACAAAAAACACAATACGTACGATTCAAAGAGAGGACAATAACCTAAGAGCTCAATGAGTAGTTTTTATATTTTTTTTTTAGAAAAGTTGCTGATGAAATATTGTTCGAAAGAGTTGATCAATTTCACCGCATTATACGTAAAAGACCGTTGAAAAATGGCTGTCCTATGTTGTGGCATTGTCAGAAGATTAATGTTGCGCGTATTCAAATTGTGAATTAAATTCCTACGAACAAGCTTTTGCATAAGATAAACGGGAACAGAAGTTTTTAATATTTTTACGACAAATGTAACAAAGTTGTATTTGAAAAGATCAGAAATTTTCAACCAATTCATTGAAGATATTGAGTGAGAAACATGATCGTACCTTCTTAAATTGTTTATGTAACGACTACATGAGTTTTGAATTTTTGCAGTCTGTATTTTGTGATTTCATCCAGTCAGGGATAATAAACTATGTTGCAGTAAGCGATTTTACTGACTCGCATAACAGTTTCTTAATTTTTCTATTTAAAACAGTTTTACTTGCATATAGAAGCCTGAGTCTAAAATAACTAGACTTACACACATAGCCAACATGCTCCTGAAATCTGAAATCTTCATCCAAGTACAAACCTAAATTTTTTGCAGAATGGGAAAATATTAGGATACTATTATTTAGTGATAAATTTAACTTTGATTTGAGGAAAGTACGTTTTTTCTTGGAGCAAAAAAGTATAGCTGTCGTTGGACAAAGAAAATAAAAATTATAAGGTAGAGCTTTGTATAGAGACTATCAGCATTATAGGGAAAAGGAACGTTGGAAAAGCGATATGCTTTGATGGGGCTTTCGTATCAAAAATAAAGTTTCCACATTTTTTTTCAGCACAAGGAACTTTTTATTTGAAAAAACAAATTTATCATCGGAAACGTTGATCTTTAAGCTATTTTTCTACGCAGTCGCAATTTTTTCTACGCATTTTTTTTAGACGTAGAGCGCCGCCTCAAGGAAGTCTGATAATTTTTTTCATTGGGCGGTCAGATCGGTGTAAGTCGAGCTTAACACGGATCTAAGCTACGAGCCCCTTCCTACGTCAGTTGGCCCACTTCAAGATTTATACCAAAATATGCCTCTATAAACTAAACGTGACGAAACTATTTACTTCTAAGACAATTTATTTTCTCAAAAACATTTTAGATACACTCTAGTCGTAAAAAATATATATTTGAAATCACTTAGACCTATAACTAAATAGAACATCTGAACAAATAAAGGATGTGCGAATAAATGCGCGAAGTTAACAAAGCACAATTGAAAGATTACCATTGGGTAACATCACCTTTATTTTTTATTACGGCTGAAATTCTTTGGGGCATAGTGTTAACCAAGTTTTGACAAAAATTTGGTGTAAAACAATCCCATATTTCTTGAAGCTTTTGTCTCAGTTCGGTGATTGTACGAGCAGGATGTTGTCGTAGAACCTTTTTCATCTCGATCCACAAGGTTTCAATAGGTGACAGATCTGGACTGCTAGAAACCCATTTCAAAAGGGGTACATTATTTTCTTCCATCCATTTTATAGCCTTTTTTAACGCTGCACCATCTTGCTGAAACACAAAATCCTGGCCGGATGTCAAACATTCTTCCATCACTCATAAAAGAGATTCTTCTAAAATTGCCAAATATTTGTTTGTATCCACATTTCCATCAATAAAATAAAGTTTTCCTACTCCTTTTGATGACATACTGCCCCAGACCATAATGGATGCTGGGAATTTCACTTTTCTCTTCAGACAGTCAACATGGAATGCTTCATTTTTTTGCGAATAACTCTACTGCGACTGTCACTAACACAAACTTCGAATCGGGCCTCATCACTCCATTGTATTGCACACCATTGTTGAGGTATCCATTGTCTATGTTCTTTAGCCCATCTAAGCGGATTTTTCTTTTTCAGTGGAGTTAATAGTGGCTTTTCTTTGGCCTATAAACAAGTTGTGCAACTTTAGGGTTTTTACTTCACACATTTTTTTATAAGAAAACTTACCTTGCAAGTGCTAAACCCCAGTTTGTGGGCCTCTCTATCAGTTGTGGACCTCGAAATTCTCAGCATCACTCCACAGAGCACTTAATTGTAAATAATTGGCACGCCTGTTTTTCACGATTATTCTTCTTAATGCTCTTCGGTCGGCATTTGTTATATTACTTTTTTTCACATATCGTGGCTTAATATTAACTGAACCAGTTACGTTATATCTTCTAACAATATTTCTCACACTGTACCGCGATAAGTCTAACAAAGTTGCAATTTTTGATTGTTTTTTTTTGTTAATATTTTAAACCTATAACACCCTGCTACATTCTTATTATTTGTGTTTGATAAGAAAAGAACTATTTCAATAGTTGGGCTAACTGAAGTGGGAAGGGGCTCGTATAACGTTATCTTTCCGATGTCAAGGTCCTTCCCAGCGCAGACCTGCTCAACGGCGAGTACTCGAACGTGAAGTATTACGATAACAACGGCTACGAGACAGGCAGCGAACGGAAGTTCGGGAGTTGTTCCAGTGCCTCTAGCTACGAATCGGAAGATCCCCCGGCGCCGTATAAACCGAAACATTGCCTGAGCAGAGACTCGGGGCATTTGAGCAACTCACAGTCGACCACTAAGGTAGACTACACGCAGAGTTCAGCTGACTCGCTGAGTTCGCTCGATGAGACAGACTACTTGACGGAGGAGTTCAAGAAATGCACTGCCTATTCTGGAGATAACGGGTTTCCTAATGGGTTTAAGAATAAGTTTTTAGTAAGTATACGCCGAGAGAGAAAATAAAACATTTGTTTAGTTAAAAGTTGCGATGAATACAGATTCCGGTAACCTCAAGAGCGTTCCTTGTGGGACACCGTACTTTGAGGTTTGAGAGTAAGTCGTGGTGCTAGTTGATTTAATATTTTAGCAGTGACCGTTTTTGTTTCTTTAGCGAATGACGAATGGAAACTACGGTGGTCCCATTTACTATTAATCACTCAGAACCCATATTAGCAGTTCAGATATTTTTATTTCTTTGCCAGATGTTAAACAAAGCGTGATGGCACCAATACCGTACCTTAAAAGACACCATACGCTGAACTGTGCGAGCAAGTAAAAACACTAATAAATATCGATATTGTTGCTATTTAAGATAATGTTTCGAACAGTTTTTCTATTTTATCAAATATGTGAAAGTTGTTTTACGAAGAATCAAATCGTAATATGTTGTTCTTGGATTTTTACACATTTCTCTTCCACTAATTACTATACGTAACATTTATACAGGGTGGCGCATCGAAAACGAAACAGACGCATTTACTGGCAGCTCAGTTTTTTTTTTAAAACGATCAGATCCGTCGGTTTTGTTTTCGAGGAGGACACAAGTTTGGCAAAAAATCACGTTAGCACCTGCAGCCCCCTAAGCGGGGTGACACCACCCCCAAAATCTTAAATGGAAAGGGGGGTCGAGTGATACCTTATTTTAAAGGTCTTTCAATTCCCTTTATAATGACGTAAATACATGAGCTTCAGTTCAGTAGTTTTGAACATTGATTGATTTAAAGTTTAAAGTAGACTTTAATAGGTACATCAGATTAGTTTGTACTACTTTCAGAAGAAATTTGACCAACAGAATTTACTTAATAAGTAAATGCTTTTCTTCACTACGCCCTTGGTTTGTTTATCATTTTGTTGTTGAAAATAGCTATTGGAGCGTTTCGTTTTCGATGCGCCACCCTGTATGTATGTTACTGCCGCAATAACACGATCTATATGAGAAATCTCGGATAAGAGCGTATAGAAAATCAATGAAATTTATAATAAAATAATGTAATGTGCGAGAATAATGACTGTAGTTGGATGTGGCTTATGTCATTCTATTCTCAAGCGAAAGAATATAATTTATGATATCTGAACATATATTTGAAGGAAAACATAGCTATGACAAATTCTCATAGATGACGAATATCTGATTTCATATCGGATATTTTTTTGTACATGGTTATCCATCTTCAAGCAGAAGACGTTAATCAATGTTATAATATATTCCTGCTCTTTGTCGAATCCCCATATTCCCAAATATACAACGTACTGCAAATTCTGCCAGTTCCATTGTACCCCTACCCTAAATGTTTTATATGGAACCAAGAATTTTATTTTAGATTTTCATATATCTATTTGAAATTAGAATTCTTGGTAATGCAATTTAGAACAAGGTGTCTTTCTTGAGAAGATACTATCATTTGCCAGACTTTATACTCTGTCCCTTCTTTTATTTTTGCTTATTATTTGATCATTTCTACATTATAACTTTGTATAAAACAAATTTGTTAGCTTAATATTAAATATAGATATATTCCATTATGCGTTGCAGTATTATTTGTTTTGGTTGCGATCATAAATAAATGTGATATATTTTGAGCAGCACTCACTGTTTGATTATTTTCGCCAAAAATTAAACAGAGTCTTGCGAATATTAACTGTGTTGTTTTATTTTTAGCCTACGATATTCGGAACGGTGGCTTCCGATCTGACGCCAAAAGACTGTTCAAATCGGAGGGTAAGTGCGTCATCGTATTGTGTATTATTTTTATTAAAGATTAAAAAGGTTCGAGATGGGATCTAACACGGCCAATCTGCTATTTGTTATTACAAAAAAATTTGAAAAATTGTCGATTTCGATACTCATTTTTTAACGTACAACAACACATCTGCAATAATAGACGAAAGTTAGAGCTTTTGTGGTGTTTAACATAAAAAAAAAATATCATCCAAAGATGATAAAATCGCCTTTCTTGACGATCTGCCAAGATTATTTGCTTATTTTGTCATTTTCAACAGAAAGAGAAAACTATGTTCGTAATGGAAGTCGTTTAAAGAATGGATGAAATCTTCATCTACAGTATATTCAGATAAGAGATAGACCGGACATAAACAAGACCACGTGATCATCGAACGCTGTAACATTCGGCAGCGACGTATTAAGAGTCACGCAGTACATATTTTAGATAGTAGATGCTGCTTTGCGTAACTTTGCAGTAAATTAGCACAATTCGATGTGTATACGATTGGTGATGCATATAGGATCATGTGGGGTGGGGTAAGAAATATATAATGATGTAAATATACATAAGGGTTTCAAAATTTTCGCTTCGATTTCCAGCTTCGGATGCCGTCTGATGTGTGGTGAAATACAGTCGAATATAATCTCAAAATGGCGTTTAAATTAGCCTATAATTATAACAAGGTATAACAATAACAACGACAAACTCAACAACTTAATAAGATAACAAACGAAAACGTCCAAAGAAATATCAAATTGCAATGATGCACACGACATACGTAACACGTCTGAACCTGAATGTGACTCTGCCTTGATACGACTGCTCTGCCGCTCGGCATAGGCATTTAATTGCGAATTGACCAATGAGGGCTCCTGTTTTACGTCGAGACGGCGGCGTTAGCGTGAAAATCACCCGAACCTTTTGTTTACATCCGGTCTATCTCTTATCTGAATATACTGTAATTACCAAACGATATATTCTTTGTTTTCAATTTTCACAGGTATTTGTTTATAATCATGTACAGCGTAGATATACTTGTTTGCGATTGAAAATTTTTTGTAGGTATAAAGTATACAGGGTGGATCAGAAAGTCGTACGAATTTCAAAACCGCATTGCTAACATGGGTAGTAGGATAGTAAAATAAAAATCCCATGTGTCTATTTTATTAAAAATATAAATTATCTCCTCCACGCTTTGTAGTCCTTTTTCTATGATGTTTTTAAATCGGCTCAACTTAATGGCCCACCCTGTATTTCTTGGTGTAATATGGAGATTACAGTTACCTTCTCTTTGTAGGTTGTGATATACAGGGTGATTCACAACTCGTGACCAAACATGAAGCATCATATACAGAACCGCATTTTATGTGTAACATTTCTTTCTCGAGGGCTTCATTAAAAAGATACGGGGTGTTGAAGTTTAGAAATAAAAAAACGATTTTTTTAATATCTTCAAAACCGTCAACTGGAATGAATTGAAATTTGGTATGTGGATTTACCTAAGTGTTGTCTACATTCAACCATCTTGACTTAAAATTTACGTCTACCAGTGGCGGAGATACAGGAGATTAGTGGCATTATCTTTCCAAATAAACATAGTACGCCACTGTTTTTTTCGAAACGCGCAATTTTTCAAATGTTAGCTTCAATTTGCTACAAATGATTACTCTTGTGTTTTTTCCTAGAGTGCATTATTTTCATAAATATAAAAAAACAAATTAGATAATGAAAGCTTTATTTCAATGAATGTTCAAAAAGACCGTCATTCTGCGGCATCTTTTTAATAAATAAATACGTATTTCCGCAATATTTGTTGTGACTTGAATTTGATTAAAGGTATCATCTATTCTATACAGAAAACCCCCCTTAAAATGCGATGTTTCACTCTTGGTAACGACTTGTGAATCACCCTGTATTTATACCAAAAACATCACCCTGTAGCCAATGTAATATACCTATCGAAATAATAAATCGTATTTTGCAACAAAATAACTAGAAATTCGCCTCTGTCGCCGTTTGTTACGGCATGACGGTCTGATAAGCACGCTACCAAATAATTAACGATTTCGTTTTTTTTCTTTCCTGCTTTCAGAGCTTGCCGCAAACGCCGCAATCCAAAAGTTATTCAGTTATTTACAACGGCGAGGCGAACCAAGAGGGCTCCGCGGGTACCGAGTTCACACAGGATAACGTAAGTTTATTTTTTCATTTTGTCCTTCTATTGATATTTGATAAAAGGGAATCGTGAAACGTACAGGGTGTAAACGATATGTAGTCATTATTGGAATGGGTAATAGGGGAGGCAAAACAAGTCAAAAAGTTCATATGACCCATGGTCCAAAAGTCAATATATTTTTGTCTAAATGGCTTTATAGTTTACAATTTTAAGTGCTTCATATCGACCACAATCAGCACAATCTTACTAATTTTTATAATCTAATCTAAAACGTTTTCTAAGTTAAGCCAAAATTTGCAGTCTGTAAGTAAGTTTCATTAAATTAGGTATTTAAAACACACATGACAACAGCGCGTCGGTCATCATCACTCCTATCGAACCGACAATCGATCGCAAACGGTAACAGTGGTTAGTAGTTGTTTTGTTTTTGTTCGTGTACGTCGTCGTGTTGATTGATTTACACGTCAGGCGAAGCGCTGTGACAGTTAGAGGTAAGTCCGGTTTTTTTAATTTTTTGCATTTTACGAGTACATTATCAAATAATGAAATAATACCTACGAGCCAAAAATAACAAACTCCATGTTTATTTACACTGCGTTCCGTCGTAATTTGCGCCTGGCATTGCGGCATTGTCAGATTTTAAATGCATGTTATAAGCTGGATTGGAGTATTTTGTCTTGCCTCCAGTAAGGGTTCAATCACGATATACCTAAACAGAAAGGGACACTTTTAAAATATAGAGAATAGAAAAAATAATACTAATCGCCAAAAATGGACCGTGTCTCAGATAAAATTGTAATAGCTCTTTGCATTGGAATTATATGTAAAACGACCTCTCATCGGGATATGCAAAAAAATTGCTGGGTAACGTTTTTTATGAAACGTCAAAGGTGGTTAAATTAGTTTTTAACAGTTGTGAATTTTAAGTTTAAAAAGGTTGGAAAGGCTAAAAGTACCTTTGAAATGAGATCATAGACGGCGAATTTTCTGTGACGAGAATTTGATATTACAACAAAAAGTATAAAAAAATTCCTATTTCTACATTTATTTTTTACTGGACAATGTATAACGGCAAATGTGAAATAGAATCCAGAAGTTAAAGTCCTTGTGTTTGTTGCTTAAGATCAAAAAAAATCAAAACACAGGTACTGTTACTAGTAGCTCAGCAAAAAAAAAACATAATAAACATATACGAGGGGGTACCCAAAAAAAAAACGGAATAATTTTTTAAATGTTATTTATTTTCAACTTTATCACAAATTTAAAATACTGTCCACTACAACTAATACACTTTTCCCACCGGTACTTCCACTGATCGAAACATTTTTTGAAGTCTGACAGCTCCTCGCTTGTTGTTTTCTTGACGTCTTCAATGTCATCAAAGCGGCGTCCTTTCATGTCCCGTTTCATCCGTGGAAATAAAAAAAGTCGCAAGCAGGCGAACAAGGTGCGTGAGGCAGCGGAACCATGCCATTTTAGGCAGAAAGTGTCAAACATACATAGCTGTGTGCGCAGGTGCATTATCGTGGTGGAAAAACCTCTCCTAACTGCCAAAATTTCACAGCTGCACGTTGCTCACTGAAGCCTGCCATTGTAAAAAACGCAGCAAGCTTTTATTACATTTTTTTTGAGAAATCAACTTCTTTCGTAACAGTATAACACACTGTATAAGTGTCAGTATAGGCTCGGGCGATAAACAATAATAAAGGATTTTCTTCCAGGCCCTTGTATACAAAGACGGGAACCTAATTTCGGGTTCTCTGGACGCCCTGATCCAGCACATGGTTCCTACGGATGTCTACTATCCGGACAGGGCGTACTTATTTGCCTTCCTTTTATCGTCAAGACTGTTCATCAAACCGCACGATCTGCTTGCCAAAGTCAGGAATCTCTGCGAGACGCAACAAGGCCTAGGTGAGTCGAAAAATAACAATATCGTAAAATAGGTTATTTTTGAATAGTATCTTGAAACCTATGCACATGAATCGATTATTCTATAGAAATTTTTTCGCGAGCGGTAACAGATGGAATTTCCCCCTCCTCTCGAAGTTTCGACAGTTTCAAGTTACACCGGGAGTGGTTGATCAACTTAGCTGCCTTCTTTGAATCTGAGAACAGCGACGTACTATTTTTATTTGCAAAAATAATGCCACTATCTCCGCCAGTGGTGCACATCAATTTTAAGCAAAGACTTCTGAATGCGAATTATTTTTAAGCTTCAACACCCCGTATCTTTTTAATGAGGAAAAAATGCTACATAGAAGACCCCCTTGAAATGCGATCCTGTGTATGGTGATTCATTTTGGTCACGACTTGTGAATCACCCTGTATATTAAGAACAAGAGGGGCCCTAGGGCTGAACCTTGTGCTACCACTGAATGAACATTCCGTAAATTTGAAATTTTTGTTTCCAACCCTGTTGCTGTTTATTTTTAAGATATGACGCTAGGAAACGTAGTGCCGCTTTATCAAAAGTTACGTAAAGTCCGGAAAACAATATTTCAATTTCGAAATTGTTCGCTATTACAATACATACTTCCTCGCCATCAGCTGGCGTGGGAAATAAAAATGGCACAGCGTGTGTTCTTTCTCCTTTAGAAACTCCAAAATTGCAGAACCTACGCTCCTAGCTTCGTAAAGATATATATGTAGTTCAACGGTGAACAAACCAACTTCCGTCGCGCTGTTCCAGTTTTATTATGTAGTTGTAAGCTCCTTTTATAATGCCGGCGTCGTCGAAACGTTTTGTTATTTTGTTGTTTTTCAGGGAATGCACAGGCAGCCAGTTTGAATTCCGGTAGCCAGGCGAGGTTCGCCGGGCATCTGGTGCAATTGCTCGCGGAGTGGACGGAAACCTTCCCGTACGATTTTAGGTCAGTAGTGGCCGGGATTGTTTGATTTTATTCCTTTTACTACTACTTCCCGATCGCGTTTCTGTTTTCTTATGAAGTTGTATACAAGGTGGTGGAACGCAAGTGTTTTGCTAGGGGTCCGAATATTTGGCTTTGACTCAGATATATATATATATATATACGAGCAGTAGTCATTGAGAGTGCCAACGACCAGTTGAGCATGAAATGCAATTAATTATTAACTGAGAAATATGCTTAGAAAATTTAAATCTTTTCTGTATTGGTTGCTAGCTTCATATTTGTGTTTCAGCTCCTGAGGATGGTACCATAGCATGCCGAAAGCTTGAGATTATATATATATATATATATATATTCGCCCACCATACAATGTGAGGACCCCCCATGTAAAATTTACATACAAAGTGAGGACCGCGACAAAGTGAGTTCCGTATACGGACCTCACTTTGTCAGACCCTATGTATCGTGTTCCCAACACCTAATCAGTAAGAAAACGTGAAAAATGGATGGTCCTCAGTTTGTACCCAGCACGTTAAAATTTGTATATCGTACTTGGGCGTTCTCAGAGCCGCTATTTCATATGCGGGGCGTTATTAGGCAGGTATAGGAACATATAAACATATTTTAGTCATTTGATCCAAATCGTGAGCCACCAGCAGAAGCTGAAAACGAGTTGGACTCGATATATATATATATATATATATATATATATATAGGTGAAAAATTAAAGTTTTCGCCTTTTGTTGGGTACTTCGACAAAATTTAAGCTAAGAGGACTCTTTATACTTTTTTAATTATCTCTAGCTTTCAATGGACTTTGCCATCATCATCAGGAGAGTAGTATGTGAGGATGTTGCTAATTGTCATTTACGTATAGGATGAGGGAAACGCCCAGTAACATGGTGAAAGCTGGATAGATGGTACAATGGTCAAAATTAAATAAAATATGACAAGAACAAGTTAAAAAAAAATTTTTAAAAACATGAAAGCATTACATCGTGAAGCCACTTGATGATTGCATATATATATATATATATATATATATATATATATATATATATATATATACCATACAACGTGAGGACCCCCCATGTAAAATCGCGACAAAGTGAGTTCAGTATACGGACCTCACTTTGTCAGACCCTATGTATCGTGTTCCACAACACCTAATCAATAAGAACACGTGAAAACCGGATGGTTCTCAGTTTGGGCGTTCTCAGAGCCCGTATTTTATATATGTGAGGCGTTATTAGGCAGCTATAGGAGCATATACACATATTTTAGTCATTTGATCCAAATCGTCAACTGAAAACGAGTTGGACTCGATTCATTTCAGGTGTAAAGACTGCTTTATCCCTACTGCCTCCTTTCACTAGCCTGCTTGCGCCTTCATAAAATATACACGACGAAAACAATCCAATCCAGCTGTAGGTAGAAGATCATGCACTGACTCCAAAAATATTTTATATTTACCCGAGTTGGGTTACGAATGCGGTCGTAATTTCACTTTTACGACTCATTTGTTACATCTGGATGTTCCCAAATACTCTTTGTTATCCTCGTCTTCTACACAACCCTGTCTTACTATAAATCTTTTATCTTTACTCACTCTGCTAAAAATGTAACGTGATATTTTCCAGATGGAGTACGACAAGTTCTTGGATTCATCTTGTTTTAATAATTCGGAAGTTTATTGTAATGGTAAAAGGCGCGTATATCTCATTTTTATTACCGTAATACAAAGGACCTCGCACAAAACATATGGAAAATTGGTCTTAGTTAATTTGAATAAAAATTCAGTATGATATATTTCTGGAGTTCCCGAACAAAAGTTCTAGTAGGATTAAAACAATCTAATAATTAGTTTGCGAGAAATATAGTAATGAAGTTTTGCCAATTTGAAAAGATGGTGAATGTGTTAATTGTAGTTCGTAGACCAAAAACCGGTAGAATCGTTTACTGTATATTTTATTAAAACACCTTGTTTTAATGGAATATACGGTTAATATATAAATAATTTAAGGGTAAGGGTGTAGATGTTGATTGTGGACTAAACCTGGCACGCGTTTTTGGAAAATTCTGATAACGTATTAGGACAGTTCACCTCTCAAAAGCACAGAAGGCTTGTGGTTGTTTCCTTCTTTGATTGTGACCTCTAAAAGGTCAAACCAAGGTCATGCACATTTTAACGATGAAAGGGAAAGTGTGAAATTTTTTTTACTTTTGAGTTGCGCAACCTATAATTCTACTTTTCACTATCCAATAACTGAAATCACATATGCTGAATGCTTTGCGTGTTTCGGCTGCCTCAGCAGCTTTTTCTCAGGTACAAATCAAATTAATCACATTTAAGTTTATGATTCTATGAAATTGAGAATCAATTAGACAATGACTTTTATTTATTTATTTCTGTCTTCCAATGTAGAGTATTAGGCAATTTTTTCTAAGGAGCATGGTCAAGCATGGGCGTCCGCAGAAATTTTTATTAGGGCAAAAGACAACTTTTTGTGAAAGTTTACCTGCCAGAGGGTGTGTAGCAGATTTTCACAGGGTGGCAAGATCCGAAAAATCCTGAAAGTTTTCCACAACATCATGCCAAATATGCAAATTTTAATGCAGCTAGGGTCAAGATAAACATGATACCTCCCAACAGCTTCCTACAAGCTTTTTTAATGAAATATTTCATTAAAAAAACTTCCTTCTTCTTCGAGTATTTGATTCGAGAATTACAATTGTCACGTTCACCATTTTTCAAATTCGGACAAACTTATTCTCTATTTCTCAAAAACTAATCATAGGATTGCTTTCGTCCCCATGATAACTTTTGTTCAGAGAGTCGAAAAATATATCATACTGAATTTTTAGGCAAATCGAGTGGGAACCACTTTTTATATGTTTTGTGCGGGGTCCTTTATGTTTATTATTAATATATACTTTGTCCCGAAAACAACGAAAGATTCCGGTTCTTCAGTTTCCTCGAAATCAACGATTATTCTTTCGCTCGATAGATGTCAAACATTGATATATCCAACAATTTTCGACAGGGACGAACGCATGATGGATCACGTCCGCAAGATCACCCAGCAATGTTGCGCGGTCAACTCAAGCCTAAGAGCGAACGTCTCGCTACTCCTGCACAACTTGCACCCTCGATTGACAGCACTGGAAGCGTACGAGAAGTCCCTAGACGCTCAAGGCTCGGCAGCGCCACCTGCCGACGAGAATCTGACTGACATTTCGGAGTTGTGCCCCGACGCGTCTGTATTGGCCCAGCAGCTGACGCACGTTGAATTGGAGAGACTGTCATTTATCGGTGAGTGAAGTGAGGTTATGTCATTGTTTATGTCAATTCGATAGACAAAATTAGTTGAGATGTTGCCAGTATGGGGTTGTGCGGTGTAATTAAGTTTAATAAATAGACGATGAATAATAGGTGGATGCGGTACATTTACAAATATCGATGTTTTAGGACCCAGAAATGCAGAATGTGCTGTTTGTTTACATTTTGTGTGTCAATGAGATTGTTTTTGATGTAACAAAAGATGATGAACCAGTTGGAATGCATTTTATATCCCTTTTTGCAAAATAAAAAAAAGCGGTACATTTCTACAGGTACATATGTATTATGTACAACACCCTGTACGTCATATAGAGACAAAACTAGATTGCCATCCATGGACAGTCGACAAATAGTAAAAAAAATCTTATTAAATATAATAGCTAGAAAATCGACCTATTATTTCTCGCATTTTCATTGATTCATTTAAATAAGAGCCCGTCTTTTGCAAAATGTTAAAAATTTGAAATTCTATGAAAGTTAACCTAATTTTAAAGCTCAAACACTTAATATTACCTCTATGATGTTCCTTTGTTTATAAAGCGACCGCTTTTTGCGATTTTATTCAATATTTAAACAGAAATTAGTGATATTAGGAGAGCTTTGACAGATTTCGATATGCTGATCGCTTATTGGTGGAAGCCCCCGTCAAATTTAAATCTGCCCATAACCTGTTTAAAATTGCGTGAGGGTGATTATGACTATGGTATACTAGGAATTTATAAAAGTGTTCTGGGTCATCATCAATAGTGACACTATTTGTTCGTTCTTTTGCAGGACCTGAAGAATTTGTACAAGCATTTGCCAAGGAAAACCCGCAACTAGAAACCTCCTTTAAAGACATGAAGAAAACGCACAATTTAGAACAGTATGTTCAATGGTTCAACAGGCTAAGTTATTTTGTAGCTACGCAAGTGTGTAAGGTGAGCTTTTGAATAATACTTACAATATACAGGGTGTCCCAGCGAAAATGATTTTCGTGATATTTTGTTGTGTCATCTCGGCCTTTTTAAATTTTAAGTACAAGAGACTGAAGTAGAATTAAAAGTGAGTGCTGAAATTAAAAAATTAAATGTATTTTTTTTCAGTATCAAAAGAAGAAAATGAGGGTACGAGTTGTAGAATATTGGATAGAAGTCGGAAGGGAATGCTTCAATATCGGCAACTTCAACAGCTTAATGGCTATCATAGCAGGATTAAACATGTCGCCTATTGCGCGGTTGAAGAAGACGGTAAGTGTCTTTGGAATATTTACAGATAAAGCATACGAATCGCAAAAAAATTTTCACAAATTCTTTGTTGTAGGGTTAACCTATGTTTTATAGCTGCTCATAATATCTACTTACTGCGATCCTCTGCTGTCTTTAGAGCTTTAGTTACAACTTGCTATGTTGCCGATAACGGTAATAAAAAGTAACTAACCATTCGCAGTCGATATTTGGTTAATATACGTTTAATTACGAATACTTAATTGAATTAAAGCAATAGTATTTTATTTCTTAGGCTTACATTGATTAATGATAGGATAGGATTAATTTTACTAAAAGCTGTTGAGCTTAGCGATCTATTATACCTGCGACACTTTAATGTAATACTTTATACAGTGTTTTTCATGCTGATGCGACTCCATGATTAGCCAAAAGAAACGACATACGTATGGATTACTTTTTATTGACGTTTCGGCCACCACGAAGCACAAATAGTACATGCCGAATATACGATATTTGGGATTTTATTGTTTCCATAATGAATCAAAAAAAAGGAATTTTTCTTAGTCAACACTGAAAACTTAAAACCGTGTATTCATCCATGTAGGTGGTTTTATTTGGCGATATAATATAATATTATTTTTTTTAGTGGAGTAAAATCCATTCGGGAAAATTCGCCATTCTGGAACATCAAATGGATCCGAGCAGCAATTTCAGCAGCTATAGAAGCACTTTGAAGGCAGCTATGTGGAGGAGTGCCGGAGCTACGGATCAAAGGCAAAGGATAGTCATACCTTTCTTCAGCTTGCTGGTCAAAGATCTGTATTTCTTGAATCAGGGATGTTCAAATAGGTAATTATTCTGATTATCATAATCTGAATCTCAATATTACAAGTTACGAGTCCACAAACTGCATCAGACGCGGATAAAATGAAATTCTCCCAATGACTAATGGTGACCTTGAACGTGACCTTGACCATGACCTTCAGGGCTATTTGAAGCTCAAGGAGGTTTTTTCAAATACAAACCTCTATATTTCACAACTGAAATGTAAAAAGCGAAAAAACCTTTAAGTATGCCCCTGCGCATGACCTTGACTATGACTTCCAAGGTCATTTGCGGGTGCTCAAAAAATATGGAAAGGATAAAATATCCCGAAAAATGTGTCTAAACACATTTGATCAAACTTGTGAGATTTGAAAAGTGACCTTGATCAGGACCTTCAGAGTCATTTGACGGTCAAGAAAGTTTTCTTAGATGGAAGCTGTAAATTTGACGACAGAAATGTAAAAAGCGATAAAAACTTTCAAGTATGCTCCTGCTCATGACCTTGATCATGACGTCCAAGATTATTTTAGGATGTTTAAAAAATATGGAAATGACAAAATGTAGTATCTCAAAAAATGTGTTTCAAAGAAAAAGATTTTTCTGTGCAAACCTATAAGATTTGAAAAGTGTCATCTAATGTTGACCTTGAACGTGACCTTGAACTTCAGGGCTATTTGAAGCTCAAGGAAATTTTCTAAAATACAAACCTCTAAATTCCACAACTGAAATGGAAAAGCGAAAAAAATCTTCATGTATGCCCCTGCGCGTGACCTTGACCATGACTTTCAAGGTCATTTGCGGGTGCTCAATAAATATGGAAAGGCCAAAATATCCCGAAAAATGTGTCTAAAAAAATTTGATTAAAGCTGTGAGATTTGAAAAGTGGCCTTGAACGTGACCTTGATCAAGACCTTCAGAGTCATTTGACGGTCAAGAAAGTTTTCTTAGATGGAAACCTGTAAATTTGACGACAGAAATGTAAAAAGCGATAAAAACTTTCAAGTATGCTCCTGCTCATGACCTTCATCATGACTTCCAAGGTTATTTTAGGATGTTTAAAAAATATGGAAATGACGAAATATAGTATTTCGAAAAATGTGTTTCAAAGAAAAAGATTTTTCTGTGCAAACCTGTAAGGTTTGAAAAGTTTCATCTAATGTTGACCTTGAACGTGACCTCTACCATGACCTTCAGGTCTATTTGAATGTCAAGGAAGTTTTCTTGGATGAGAACCTCTGAATTTCACAACGGAAATGTAAAAGGTAAAAAAAAACAATTCAAGTATGCTTATGACCTTGACCAAAGTTATTTGCGGGTGCTCAAAAAATATGGTAATTACAAAATATGTCGAAAAATATGGTTTCAAAAAATACATTTTTTTGAACAGACCTGTAAGTTATAAAAAGTGTAATCTAATGTTGACCTTGAACTTGACCTTGACCATTACCTTCATGACTATTTGAAGGTCAAGGACGTTTTCTACGATGGAAACCCTTATTTTTGACGCCGGAAATGTGAAGAGCGGAAAAAACTTTAAAGTGTGAACCAGTCCATGATCTTGACCATGATTTACAAGACTCATTTCGGATGTCCAAAAAATATGGATTGTATAAAATATCTCAAAAAATATGGTTCCAAAAAATACATTTTTTGAACAAAGCTTTAAGGTATAGAAATGTAATCTAATCTTGACCGTGATCTTGTCCACGACCTTCAGGTCTATTTGAAGGTCAATGAAGTTTTCTTAGATGAAAACCTCTAAATTTCTCAACGGAAATGTAAAAAGAAAAAACAACACGTTCAAGTATGCCCCTGCTTATGACCTTGATGATGGCGTTCAAGGTTATATGCGGATGCTCAATCAATATCTGAAAAAATATGTTTTTTAGTAAAAAATTTTCAACATACTTGTAAGGTTTGAAGTTTTTGTCTAACGGTGACCTTGAATGTAACCTTGACCATAACCCGAAGCATGATATGCATGGCTATTTGAAAGTCAAGGAAGATTCTTAGATGGAAACCTCTATTCTTGACGTCGGAAATGTCAAGAGAGGAGAAAACGTTCAAGAATGTATCAGTCTATGACCTTGACAATGACTCTCAAGGTCATTTGAGGGTGTTCATGAAATATGGAAAAAATATCTTGAAAATGATCTCGAAGGTCAAGGCCAAGGTGAAGTTCCAGACCGCAATTAAATTATCATTTTCAAACCTTAGTTCTTTGCTCTACAACATGTTTTTCGAGATTGTTTGATGTTTTTACAGCGTTCATATTTTGAACAAAAGTTCGGTACACAACATTTGGCGTTTGTGCTACAAACGAATGGGAAGGTATTCCATTCCTATAGTATCAAAAAATTAACTTATTTCCCTGCTTCCAGACTGCCAAACGGTCACATCAACTTCGAAAAGTTCTGGCAACTCGCCAAGCAAGTGACGGAGTTCATGGCGTGGAAGCAAGTGACTTGTCCGTTCGAGAAAGACCCAAAAATCATCTCTCTCCTCCAGCACGGGCCAATCCTCAACGAAAACGCGTTGGCATTGGCCAGTTTTGAGTGCGAACCTCCGGACAACAATCAGGAGAAAGAACGGTGTAAAACTCTCAAGGCGGACTCAGCCAGTAATTGATATGATTCCATTAGGTCGTAAGATTCGAGGTATTCGGGGTGATTTTTTTAATGTTGGAGTTTCTTTAACAATATTGCTGCAAGATGGACACGTATTGCTCTTTACTAACATGTCTCATAGATGCCTGAAGATACCCAATTAAATTAAGCTTTGGAGAGGCGACAAAAAGGGGGTCATGTTCCTAACGCCATCTATGAGATGGTAGCAGAACCAAACACTGGAGATTCTCTTTACCAACAAAATTACATACGATCCTGGCGGTTATAAGTGGTTTACAAGCATGGGTTTAAAAGAAACTCCAATAGCTTACAAATCATCTCTCAGTTTCCTGTGAATATATACTTTTTTTGTTGGGTTTGATCGGAATTTTATTTGTACATATAATTTTCATTAAGTATTGTTTCTTGCGATGAAGTATTAAGGCATACTGAAGCTCATTGTGATTTTGTAGCTTTTTACGGACGATTTTTAGTTGTAAATTTGCACAATTCAGTACCTAATTTTTTTATTCATAGTTTAACATGTTTCACTTAAGAAGGAATTCGTATTATTTGTACATATGAAAAGAAGTGATCGGAAATTTATTTGCAAAAAAATACGCGGTAACATCTTTGGGAGGATTTTATTATTTGTAAAATTCACTTGCTTTTTAGATTTTTTTTACAACCTAATATTATCAAGGGAAAAAATTTAATGAAATTTTGATTATACCAAGAAAAGAAAAATTACTTGAAAAATGCTTTTGAGTTACATGACTTTTTTATATAGTCGTTACTTTTCCCTCATTTGCAGATATTTTCAAATAATTAATTTAGATACTTTCTTGCTATATCTATCATTTCAAAACGGCGTTAATGACTAAAAATTTCGAAATGATTTCGGTAAGAAATTTTGGAGCTTGCCTTGATGAGATTTTATGCTTTAGATTTTTTAAATTGTTAATACATTAAACTAAATGTTTAAGAAACTTCTTTAGTTATTTTGATTGGAAGAAAAATAATTTATAAAAAATCGCTTGATTGTGTACAAAATATATGTAGTTTTCAACTGAATCAAAAATACTATTTATAATTCACTATTTAAATGTTGCATTACTAAAATTTAGCACTTTCTTTCTTCTGGCACAGAACTGTTAGATGTAAGTAATATGAACGAAAATTCGCTCTCTTCAAAAAATGATGTGGGATATTTTTTTATTAATGTGGCACGTCCCTTTTTTGAGATTTTTTTTCAACTTCCTATTTGCAGCAGTATTCTAAATCCTTTTCATCTGATAATTTCATGGTGTGTATAGAGATGACTAAAAAACAATGTTTTCATTTTTTTTGGTAAAAAATGCATTTTTTGTGCATTCTTTCTTCAACCGGAACTTGTTAACAAATATAACTACAGCTCTGAAACTGTGTGTGAATATTCCTCCTTTATGGAAGAATGAAACGAGTGATTACTTTTGTTCTTATCACTTGTAATTTTCGAAAAATCTTTGATTTTCTTGAAGCTTCGTCTCGCAGCAACTTTTCAAAAAAAGCAATGATTTTTCGAAAAGGAAAAGTGATACGAACAAAAATAGTAACTCGTTTCATTCTTCCATACAAGAGGAATATTCACACACAATTTCAGAGCTGTACTTATATTTGTTAACAAGCTCCAATTGAATAAAAAATGCACAATAAAATACTCATGATAAAAAATGAAAACATTGTTTTTTAGTCATCTCTATACACACCATGAAATTATCAGATGAAAATGATTTAGAATAATCTAAAAATAAGTCGTGCCTACATTTCTGACTGAATTTTATAAAGTTTAAACAAGACTCTTCCTTTTTTCAACTTTGATAACCGCAAATTTTTGTGTCCGAAAGTTGCGGACGAAATTTCATTTTATTTTGATAGATTTATTCAAAAATCTATAATTTTAGTCGTCAATTTTCAACCTTTTTTTTTTGTTGCACCTCAGACTGGTTGTCTTTGTCTACAAAGTTTCTTTTATCGTTAACTTTAAAGCGAAAGCGTTTGAAAAATATTTTATAAATTTTAATCCTGCTTTATAGTTATTGAGAATACTCGATTTATAGAAATTTACACTGAAAACATTTTGTACCTATTTGTAATATTTTATACCTCAGTGTTTTTACATATACATGAATATTTGTAATTGTACTTAATATCGACCAATGTAACAGTATTCGCGTCATAGTGCGGTAAAATTACCTCAAGTCAAAGATTGAATGCAAACACTCCATCCTGGGAAAAAAATATAGAATTTACCTGGAAAAATGAACTGGCAGCAGATTTTCATGGAAATAACGAGACTAGTTTCTGAGAATTTCATAAGGACACGGCTTAAAAATACTTGAATTGTATTTTTTAACTAATCGTTCGGCTAATTTTACTGCACTATCATACATAGATTATACGCCTAGGGTAGTAATTTCATGTTGTTAACTCTCTTATTGCTTTTCGTTCAAAACTAAAATTGACAAGTACCTAAAAATGATGGTAAAGTTGAAAATTCTATTTTTTCAACTAGATTATCTTCGGTGAAAAGAGAGTAAGCAACATACTATGGAACCGTTTACACCCTGTATATTCATTATACCCACCTGGGATTAACCCGGTTTTTGTCCTATGATCGCCATTTGCACTTTATCCTTTAACGTTATCCAGTGTGTCCGTTGTCGTTTTAGTTGTATACAGTACCTTTATATAATTATTTTGGAGGTTTTAGAAGGCCCTATTTTTATTCGGAAAAGCTAAACATACCTCCTAAAGTTCCTTCTACGCAAATCAAAATTGTTAATTTTTAGGGATTCTTTCAACTGCTGTATCTCAGTAGAAAATGATCGTATGGAGATTCTTAAAGAAGCATTTTGAAGGTTTAAATGTCCAGATCTCGGATATTTTAGTCAAAAAATGTTTGAAGCTGCACTTCTAGGAAAAGTGACATGTTTGAAGCTGCAGGTTCCACGCACTTCTAGGAAAAATGTGAAGAAAGAATTGCATGTTTTTATATTTTTATTTTGGGCTTGGAAAATATTTTTCGCTAAACCATTGCATGAACTAAAAAACCTGTTTATTCAAGTTCAATTTGCTTTTTTCAAAACCCCGGTTAGTCAAGTTTTTGCTGAGTTATTGAATTTTCAACGAAAAACGACACTTTCGGCTTTGATCATCAATATTCCGGAAACAATAATCGTACAGAAAATCTAAAGATAGTTTCAAAAGCTGCAATGCATTTTTTAAATTAGAAAAAAGAAAATAAAAGGCAATTTCCAAGAAAGTAGGACTTTTTCTCTTCACAGTATGTCCAAAGATTGAGTGGAACCTGCAGCTTCAAAAATGTTTCATAAAAAAGATCCAAAAACTAGACATTCGAAGCTTTAAAATGCTTCTCTTAAAATTTGCAGTTTCTATTTGATTTCTTATTTTTTCGCGCCTTTAAGCTGCGTTCTCTCGGAGTTTCGTTTGTATGGAGGACAACTTTGTGGTGAAACGCGTACCTGTAAGAAATCAAACTGACCTGCAGACATTTGTTAGGTTTTTTAAATCTTCAGGATGCTCACTTGTTAGTTTAGCGTCTTCTGTTTTCTCAAATATTTTAAATGCAAGAATCCACCTCCTTTCCCTACAAAACCTTTTATTTTTTTTAACTGTCTTCGTGACTCTAGACAACAGCCGTTTCACTATCAAGCAGCAACTCCTCCGCGGTCGGCTCTTTGAATAAACTGAATCGTGATCGTGTGAACAACCTTCGCTCCCAATTCAAGACATCGCTGCCACGATGTCAACTTTCTGCCCCGTGCGAACGCAGCTTTAGAGTCGCCTTAACGTCGATCTATAGCGTCAATTGCAGCCCATACACGAGCATTCTTTTCCGTTTTTATTCCTGTCACGAAAGCTCGTTGTTCCGTCACGAGAGGAATGATCTTAAAACGCACAAATCCGTACTGAAGTGGCAAATATTCCCTCTAACTGTCAAATATTACGACTACTATCATCCATTCACTCTTGTGGCATTAAAGGACGCTCGTGTGTATCACATGTGTGTTCGTTATCCAAATATCTCAAGGTCACGACCGTAAAACTCCCAAAAAAAGTTGTTTTCCGTGTTTCCTGATTACACGGGTCGACAATTTTGTACCCAATTACCAGAGTATATGTTGCCGAAGGTTTTTGATCTGAATCCGTGGTCCAAATCTCTCGATTGGATCTAATTTTCGAGATAGTCGTGAAAAAAATAGAGTTTTGCCTATAATTGAGGTTATGTAGCATGGAGATTTTTTTTCAATGCCCCCCTCCCCCGACGTATCCGAGTTGAAAAAATTTAACGTGTTTTTCAATTTTCGATCGCCGATACCCCAGACGGACATCTTCCTGGTCATAAATCCTGAGCCACCTTCCAGAAACACCCAAAAAAGTTGCCAATTTGGAACCACCCCCCAAAGTATTTTCTGAATCGATGTCTATGGTTTTTTATACTAATTCGCCATGATATATAACCTCAAATATAGACAAAAATCTATTCACGAGTATCCATTCCAGTACACCTTATTTCACAACTATCCATCACGCAACAATGATAGCTAGTTATCTAGTAATATTTCAAAATTCCCCATATCAGCACGGGACACATAATTCTGACGGATCCGTCAACGTCAGGTAGCCAGAGCTGTATTTTTTTGGTAGACGTTAAAGCGTGACAAATATCAGCCGATTTTCTAGTAATTTTTCAAAATTCCCATATTGAAATCTGACAGATAATTCTGACGGATCCGTCAAGGCCAAGTAGACAGCAGTGTTTTGTTTTTGTTTTTGTGCGTTATAGATTCATTTCTACCTCCTAACAACTCTTTTATTCATAAATTCATTTGCATACAAACAATTAATTACATTACAGATTAATACAAAAATGTCTAATCAGCTGCTCACTTGGTTTTTTGCACTTTTTAGTTGAGATATCTTCGGAAAATAAAGATGAGGTATTTCAGCAATGCTCGGGAAAGTATTCTCTTGGTTTCTGGTCGCTCGCTCTGCTCGGCCTGTGTTATAGGCCTTCTGGAATCAACAAAAATTAATTGTACAATCTTAATTTAAAAGGATGTGATTGAGAAATGATTGTATTTGAATGCTTGCCACACTCCCCGTAAACGTGTGTAGGTGATAAAGACTTAATTTCTCAGTATTCTAGTCATTAGGTAAGGTTTAAATCGCTAAGGATATTTGTAAAATTAGGTCCTACAGTATGAACGATTTGTATTGTAACAAATTATTTTATTCGTAAAGTAAATGAATAGAACGATTTCTGGCCTTTCATTCCATCCCGCATGTCCGTATATCGAGGTTTAGGCCGGTATTGTCAGTCGTTCCTATAATTGTAGGACGCCTTTATGGCCTCCTTGATTTTCATAATCGCATGTCATCAGTAAGGTACTTGAATGTACTGCTTTAGATTTCTAGTCTGCTGTCGATCACAAGTCAATTGTGATGTTAGTAGGGATGGAAATTTGTTAGAAAACATCGATGTTTGGACATCGACAAACATCGCCATCGTAATATCGATGGAGCTCGATACATCGGAACAAATACATCGATGTATCGAAACAAATCTTTTTTTGACGTTTTCTGCTTTCAATTCAGCAACGAATTAATTCATCGGTTTTAGCGGAATAGTCATTTTATCCGTTGGTGGAATTCGCACTGCGTTTTTTTCTCGATTTCCAAACCAAGCAAGAATAAAAAACGCGACAGCAACTTCACGATAGGATAAAAGGATACCGACTGCAATATATTTCAGTAAAAAAGTATGATTATAGGAAACATTGATGATCATTAAATACTTTACACTGTGCACAAGTTGAAGAGTGTTTTTTAAAGTACTTTCACATATCACTTTTTCGTAGCATTTCGACTAATTAACAATAAAACAGCGACACTACAGCTACATGCAATAAAATAATCAAAAGAACCTGAAATCATTAAATGCGCTGTTTTCGGTTTATTTTATTATATCCCTTGGGGAAGTACAGAATAAAAAAAGACTACAAGTCCATTTCACGTCTGTAATGATAATATTGAGATACTACTAAACAGCTTTCTGGGCTTTCAATTTAGAAGCTACCAGTCCTCGCTTACAGATGATCGCACAGTTAAGGATATACTCGGGGTATACCGATGTTTATGATCCTTTCGATATCGATATATCGTCATAAAACCATCGATGCCCCACGAAAACATCGATGTATTGTTGCCATCCCTAGATGTTTCTTATTTGACGTTCAAGAAATTTTAGACAGATGAATCAAATGCCGAAGGATATTTCAATAATGTTGAGTCAATAATAACTACCTACATTGAACAAATTCGTCAAGCTGTGGTATCAATGTTCTCCAAATGAACAATGCAAATCGATGTATATTTATAAATAAAAGCCCAACAGTTTTCAACCAAGCGGTCCGAGTAAAGATAACATGGCCACGCAAGACAACTGTTGAAATGTATTCTACAAGACTCTAGAAGACTATTAGTAGCGAAATTTTAGCCGAAACTGTTGCACAACACAAAAAAATGCAAATGAAATTGCCGCTTTGACGTTCTAAATAACTCTATCGGTACCCCGGGATAGACAGATAGCCTTGTCATTCTTGCCACCTGGATTGCGGCGTTGCCAGCTCATCGGACGATTTTGCTACCTCTGCTATCACCAATTCCTTGGACCTTTTGTTCGAGGCCTTGCTAATAGTTTTGAGATTTTTCAGAAATGAATGTAAGTACATAAGAATACTTACAAGAACGTTAGATTGGTGCAGGTTTTTGTAAATCTCTTTTAATAATAATGTATTACAGGGTGGCCAAGATAAGGATCAGACTAGGTTAAACTCAGTAATCACACAATCTTACGTCAAGCATTTGTTTGAAAAAATAGAGAAAACACGTTTGTTTTATAACTTAAAAAAAGCAAATGTGACGTGATATATCGTTGAAGTCGTAGAAAAAGATGCTATTAGATACAGGGTCGTACTTTCTTAAATGGGGTGCACTTGGGGCACATTTAAAAACACCATCATGTGCCATTAGTTTTTTAACATTTCGTCAAATAAAGTCAGACAAAAATAAAAACTATTTGGTAAAATTTTAGTTTTTCAAAAATACCTCAGTATATGACTAATCTCTAAGTGCATGCAATGTGCACAATTTATTTAAAAAACATAGGATGTCAAGCCTAACACACAAGTAGATGAGTATGCAAGGCTCACCTAGTTTGGTGCACATGTATCTCCTGTTTCCCTCAGAAGAGTTGGAAGTAGACCACTTTAGAGACACTAAAACACCACTGAAAGACAATCGAGAACCCTATAGTGAGAAAACCACTATTAAAAAATAGCTTAACCGAATAGAGCTCTGCACCGAGCTGTGAACGCGTGGACATTCCGCTGCGCCGACGGTTGCCGAGAGACTAAAGTGCTGTACCTCGCTGCGGCGATACAGTACGGCCGGGTAGTACAGCCACGCCCCTTTCCAGCTCCCATTCCGCGCGTCAGGTCTCCATAGCGCAGTCACATTATGTGATTCGCTTCATTCAGACCATTTATATCGAACTATTAGACCGTTTTAGGTTATATTATCGTATGCTACTTTTTTTTAGGTTAATAACTGTGGCATGCTGGCGATTTTCGATTGTACAAATGAAGCCAGGATTGTGGAACGACTTAATTTTTCTTCACCTGATACAATTAATCTTAGCAGTGACGGTTGAGGTTTTCTAGGGGTTTTCCTCACCCAAGTGCGAATGCAGTCACTAAAAAACCATATTCATCTATTCCTCCTATTAATGATCATGTAATATTAGATCAAATAGTTAATAAATACATTTGTATAATAAAACATTGTTTTTTACAATTGTTGGAAGAAGTCCGGTATTCAAAAAGTATTTTATCCTATCAAACTGGGCATTTATAAAAGTGTTTAGAGACATTAACGTTCCGCCGCATAGACGCCAGGCGATGCAAAATGTAAATAACAGCTTTTTTTTAGTTTTTTGGTAAACATTGCTACGTCTCAAATTTTATATATTTCCATTGGTATCCTTCAATATTTTATCCAAAGCTTCTTGTTTTATAACATTGTAGCAAAACAGCAGAAGTAGCAAAATTGTCCGATGAGCTGGCAATGCTGCAATGTAGGTGGCAAGATCGTATGCCTATCCCGAGGTAATGGGGAGTCATTTAGTACGTCAAAGCGGCAGTTTTCCAATCTTGATTTGCATTTTTCAAGCGGTGTGCAACGATTTCGAGAAAATTTTCGCTACGGATGATCTTATAGATTCTAGTAGAGTATATTTCAATAGTTGTCTTGCCTGGCCATGTTATATTTACTCGGGCCAAATTTTGTAACATTTAACAACAGATTTAACAGACTGCAAAATAACAGGAACAATTAACAACCTAAATAAAACTTTGAAAATCAAACGTCTCTTCGAATGTTTATACACGCTCCACTAATCCACACAATACTGAAAAAAACGGAAAAACTATGTAAACAAATCAAAACCAGGCAATAAACTGTTCAACACAAAAATCTGCTGATTGAATCTACGGTAAGATTTCTACACTATTTTGATGTATAATAACTTAAGTAGACAGTGCAGAGATGGCACTGCAAGTACTCAGGACTTTACAACCTAGATGGCAGCACAGCCTGTTAGTGTGGCCTGATTCGATTGAACATTCGTAGATGGCGCAACTGCTATTTTAACTTAGAGACTATAGCTGGCAGCACGAGTTACACCGATAGATAACTTTAGCTGGGAGCGAATGTTCAACAAACACTCAGCAGGTGACGCTACATGTATTCAGCGATTGGCGTAATAGTCTAGGAGTAAGGCCCGTATCATCAGTCGTCCCTACAATAATTGTAGGGCGCCTTTATGGCCTCCTTGATTGTCATAGTTTTCTACTTCTCCGTGTCAGCGCTCTATTTTGAGGTTATATCACAAACATCTATTTGCATCAAATTGTGCTTGCTTTTGAGTTATATCATGTTTTATCAGCCTGAAATTTCCTACAATTTAAAAAGAAAACATATCTTCACAATAGGAGAGCGCTGACGCCGAAACGGGACAAGTGTAATCTAGAAATTTTTGAAGGAGAGAAAGGATTATGACAATCAAGGAGGCCATAAACGCGCCCTACAATTGTAGGGAAGACTAACGATACGGGCCTAAGGCCTGTGTCATTTAAAATCAGCCCATTATAAAATTCTTAGTGTAAAAAAATTAATTTTTAATTTATTCTCATGTACTACTATGACCTTAAAATTTAGAGTCAAGGTCAAGTCGAAGGACAATACAGCAATTTCTGTTAATGCAGGTGTTTGCCCATGACTTTTTCATGAATCATCCTGCTAAACTTCTAGCGATTTTCCGTAACCTCATACAGTTGACCTTCAGAGGCGACCTTAACTTAGATATTTAGAATTTTCGGATCTTTCGATTGCCGGTATCAAAATCAAAAACAAATTTCCACTAAAATAATTTTAGAAATGAGGCTCAGTTCAACGCCAAGGTCGCCATTGAGGCTCATCGTTTAGCGTTAGTACAGAGTGACCTTGACCTGTTTCAAAAAAACCTTACCTCGATTTGTTATTCTGTTACACCCGGCGTGTTGATTTGTTTCAAAGTACTTTGCAACTACTAACAAGGAAAGCCACTTCTCGCACCGCACTGTTGTACGATAACACGACTTCCACTCCCTAATCCGTTTTTCTTATAATGGCCTACAGCAAGCGCACTACTTCGGCAAGATTTATTTTTATTGCCGCACGAAAGTACGCAAAGTTGAAGATGATTTTGTTCCGTGTTAAGCTCTAGGGGAACTTTATAAGATACCCTCCGACACATTAGTCTCAGAGTAGGTGTATAATGGCTTTATTTGATAGCTGACCTTAGGAAAACCGCTAATAATTTCATTTATTAGATTTCCTCTTAAGCCTATAATTTAGAGCCAGAGTAGGCTAAGGACCAATTTCACCAACATTAATATTTGACTGTCAGTTGGACCAATAGGAAAAGACATTATCGAAATGCAATTTGACGGAAGCTGTCAAAGCTCTATGAATATCAGTGATTTCTATTGAAATTTTGAATAAAGTCGTGGGAAAAAGGTTGCCTTATAAATAAGGGTACATTATAGATGTAATATTATGTCTTTGTGCTTTAGAATTAGGACACCTTTCATAGAATTTCAAATTATCGAAATCGGTCAAAGCTGTCCTAATATCGCTAATTTCTGTTTAAATATTTAATAAAATCGCGAAAAAGCAGTTGCTTTATAAACAAGGGAACATTATAGAGGTAATATTATGTGTTGGAGCTTTAAAATTAGGTTAACTTTCATATAATTTCCAATTTCTATCATTTCACAAAAGACGGTCAGTTATTTAAATGGATCAATGAAAATGAGGAAAATAATAGATCGATTTTCTTTAGCTATTATATTTAGTACTATGTTTTCACTGTTTTTGACGGCTGTTCATGCATGGCAATCTAGTTTTGTCTGTATATCACGTACAGAATACGTACCTGTAGAAATGTACCGATTTTTGTTATTTTGCAAAAAAGGGGATAAAATGTATTCCAACTGGTTCATAATCTTTTGTTACATCAAAAACAATTTTGCCAATTTATGAGCTAGAAATCTACACCACATGTAAACCAAACAGCATATTCTGCATTTCTGAGTCCTAAAACATCGATATTTGTAAAAGTATCCGCATCCACCTATTATTCATCGTCTAGATATTATAAGTCAGAATCAAAAATACCTATTTTCGAAAATATATCTATAAACATTGTTATATTTTCTTGTTATTTCTATTATCATAACACGTCTGGGATATCAATTGCTTTTAAAGTGATCTGCACATCTGCAGTGTTGCCGAACCGGCAAAAAAAAACGGAATCGGTAAATAGTGTTGAATTCGGTATAAGGAAAATGCCGTCCCAAGATCAGTGGAAGATCAAGGACCTTTGAGTCATGAAAAAAATCTGTTATTGTATTGGGCGCACACACAACATGTTTTTTGAGGGCAAGTATAGAAATATTTAAATTATTTTGAAAAATCGTGCAGAATGATGTTATCGATAAATATTCGGCAAGTAAATGAATGAATGTTTGGAAACGAGCAATATGCATGAAATCTTTGGTAAGAATGTCATCAAGTAGGTGCTTAATGGGTATCTGCAAGAGGTTTATGGGAAAAAACACACGGTAGGTGATGTTGAATCAGTAAAATCGCATATCAAATGAAGAAAATAATATAAACATGAATAAACTATCGACAATATTAAATAAAAACATGAATTTTATTAAAAAATCGAACACTTTTTTAAATTTTAACTAAAGTATATGTAGTTTCTTAATATTCAATAAGCTGGTGATGTTTCAATGACAAGCTGTCATCTCATACTTTGACTGTATTTTGTTTTCAACATTTCATAGCTATTGGTTGCTAAAATTTGTTGATTGGAACTTGAAGCTCATTCGCTGTACTTAACGGACTGTTACCCTATAGGTGGAGAATAACGGACTGTTGATTTGACAATCCTGGTGAAATCTACCCTAAGTCCATTTTAGCTTTAAATGAGTTTTTCATGATAAGTCAATGATAATAGGGTGATTTCTATAATAATAAAGAAGTTTCGACATCATGTCATGCCAAATCACACACAGGTGTTTTGTGCTTTTTGGCAGTGGACAGTTCCAGTTTTAAAGCAATAAGCACGTTACCGTTTTCGAGATACCAAAGATGAGGGTCGAATGTCCAGTCAACGAGAATGTAGAAGATGGCATAACTGGATATCTTCTGGCGGAATGAGTTAATCGATGACATCTTTTTAGTTGCGCCACTGCTCCCGCCATGCATTCACGAAACTAAAAACGTTATCCGCGCATACAACGTATATATACCGGCTGTTCCCGTTGAGGAATTCCTCCCGGGGGAGCAGTTCGAGCACGCGAGGTGCCCCATTCTGCGTCCTGCAGCCCTTTCTTATTAGAGAACAACTAATTTAAGAGTTGGGCGCCATAAAGAAGAGCCCGAGTCGGAGCAACAGCCCGAGAAGAACGGCACTTTCGGCTGGACACGCGCCGTGATCTACAGCTGTTCTTTGGATGAAAGTTTTAACCGGTTTCTTGTTTCTTGCGATACGGGAAAGTTGCGGAGTTTAATTAAATTGGAGAACAGTCTAGTTTCCGTTTTATGTTTAGTTGTGAAGGCAAATATACAGGGTGTAGCTTTATCAGTGGTAAAAAACTATTTTTGAATTCGCCGTTCAATTTAAAACAAATGATCTCCTTGAATTGTTTTCCTCCGATGCGCCATTTTTGCGTAAAAAACCGGTCTATTGTCTCACTTGCAAAATTATTATTTTTTACGGACATTAAAAAGTGACAACCGAAACTTTAAATTTGAGTCTCATCTACAATAATTTCGAATCTTAAAGTTCGTAAAAGGTCTTTACTTCCGCGTTATACATGATAATTTTACGTAGTCATTTTCGTGCCACGAGATTCTAATGAAGAAGCTCACAAGAAAAGTGTGCATACAAGATTAACTCCGATCCTCTTTATTGAATAAATTTATTGACAATGGTATGATAGCAGTTATTTCCAACTAGGTGTCTGCTGTTGTTCGAAAATCCTCAAGGGTCACCCCAGCTATTCAGAAAGGCCCGACAGGATTCAAGCAAAGCGTCCCCTATTTTCAGTATCAGGTATTCTGCTATTTCTGTTGTCCAAAATCACGAATTAACCCAGAATTGTTCGTATGCTGAACCGTTAATAAATATTAACTTTCGTTACTGTGTCTTATATACAGGGTGGCGCATCGAAAACGAAACAGACGCATTTACTGGCATCTCAGTTTTTTTTTTTGGAAAAACGCTCAGACCCTACGATTTTGTTTTCGAGGGGGACACAAGTTTGGTGACACCAACCCTAAAATCTTAAATGGAAAGGGGGGTCGAGTGATACCTTATTATAAAGGTGTTGCAATTCCCTTTATAATGATGTAAAATACATGAGCCTCAGTTCAGTAGTTTTGAAGATTTATTGATTTAAACCTTAAAGTAGACTTTCACAGGTACATCAGATTAGTTTGTACTACTTTCAGAAGAAATTTGACCAAGAGAATTTACTTAATAAGTAAATGCTTTTCTTCACTACGCCCATGGTTTACCATTTTGTTGTTGAAAATAGCTATTGGAGCGTTTTTTTGTGTCAAAAAAGTTATTTCTTGAAAAAAGATAAGGAAATATCTCGTACTTATTTTAAATAGGAATTTAGTACATAGTTTGCGATTGTTTGGCCAAACTTTGTTGCTAAAATAACTTCTAACGCTTTATTACATAAATTAACCATGGTATATTCCACAGCAGAAAGAGTTGAAATTATCGAAATATTTTTCGGAAATAATCAGTGCGCTAACAGAACAGCAGAAATATTTAATGAGCGACATGAGAACAGTAATTTTAATCAAACTTGTGTCCCCATAGAAAACAAAATCAATGGGTCTGAGCGTTTAAAAAAAACTGAGCCGCCAGTAAATGCGTCTGTTTCGTTTTCGATGCGCCACCTTGTATAAATTGACAATACTGACATACATAGTATATATTTACACCTCCTGTACGTGAATAGGCTCAGTACAATGTACTCTTATGTACTGGTTTGTCACTTTCCTAGGCATTTTTTGGCAAACCTATCCAGAAGTATGCACTAAAACTATGTACGTTTCGTGATAGTATCTGTTAGCCATCGGTATCCGTTACGCGCACATTTGCAATCTTAGTGTCAATGTCAAGCTAATATGCACATGCTCAAGCAATCATAAAAATATTACATTATTTATGTATAAAAAGAAATTATCGAACGATCTCAGAATTCATCGGCTTCCGTTGCACGGAGTCTTCTTATCTTCATTATAATAACTAAGAAACATACTGATCTCAATCTGCAAATTATTCGCTATTCTTTAATTACCAATCAGTCGACATCCTTCATTTGCGCTCGACAGCGGCGTGCCCATCAATTTAATGGAAAGGTATCTTTTTAATTGTTCTTTGCATACATGCATCTTCTGGTGACTTCGAAGTTGAGTCATTTATTTTAACAGTGAGTAGTTCTGATCAAAAGAAATGTTTTTTCCTTTAACATTTTTGTGGTAAAATTAAAGTAACAAAGTTATAGCCGTTTAGAAGTTTGAGTACCGCCCTGTCTCAATAATAATATGATGTGCTCGTGTTTGGCAACAACGGATATAATCCGCCTTATCGGTTCATCGCATCGGAAACAAAAAAGCGAAAGAATTTGAAACGCTTATCACGATGTCTTTACTACAATTTTATTCAGTTGTATTCATGAACTTGTGGACATGATTCTTATTTACGGGGGGGGGGGGGATTTTTACAAAATGCTGCCGCAGCATCACGGATTTATGCGGATCGGTTTCCCAATCGAGTGCAACCAACCCCTCGTGCCTTAATGTAGTACAAAGGGCTCGTGAATCAGGTGACTTAAGACCTCACAGGGGAGGGCATGCCGGTGCTCCAAGACCGCACGATCAAATACAGGTCCGCACTGAAATACTTGTCGGCAGGATACTTTATAAAACAAAGTAACATTTTTTTTTTTAATTTTTTTTATTTTTACACACATATTTTGGTTTATCTTCCTTCTACAATCAGTATCTGAAAATTAATGACTCAACTTCAAAGTCACCCTGTATAGTCGCACGCTCGTTGAGCTGCCCGCCACGCGTATATTGAAAATATATCTCTACCGTTCATGGTCTAAGAGCAAATGTACCGCAAAATCTGTAATGTATGAAACATGTCTGAAGAGTTGTGGATCGGAATGACGTACAGGAGAGTAGATCGTTGATATGTAATAGAAAAAACGTCGAAGCCAAGACCGATCCGTGGGGAACATCCGTTGTGGGACGAGGACGAGAACTAGATACTATGAGAGTCAAAATAAGCTCTACGTCATTCTGCGATTATTTTTGCTCTCACTCTGTGTCCGTATCGTATCTCAAAGCATGACCTCCACCAAATCACGCATCTCCTGTCGCACACAAATCGCCTCCCTCCTCCCCTAACTGGTTACTCTGGCGGAACTGAGGATGTTTACGATGGGCAGTTGGCAGTTGTTTAGGATTGTCGCGGTTCACAAACTGTCCACTTTACTGGTTCAATTAGCACTAGATTAGACGAACAGGACGATCCTGTCGGACACAATAGGAAACCCCTACCTGATTAATCGAGTTTGGTGTGGGCACAGGTCAAAGTTATTAGGATCACATTGAAGCATAGTCCGAGATCTCAAGATTCGCCTTTTTTAACCAAGGAGGGAACAGACTTCCATATTTATTTGGCCAATGAATCCACACGTATTTAAGATTCTTCTTCAATGTAGTGAACACTTCAATTACAAAACGCTCAGACCCGTCGATTTTGTTTTCGAGGGGGACACAAGTTTGGCAAAAACTGACGTTAGCACGTGCAGCCCCCTGGGCGGGGGTGACACCAACCCTAAAATCTTAAATAGAAAGGGGGATCGAGTGATATCTTATTTTAAAGGCCTTTCAATTCCCTTTATAATGATGTAAAATACACGAGCTTCAGTTCAGTAGTTTTGAAGATTTATTGATTAAAAGCTTAAAGTAGACTTTAATAGGTAGATCATATTAGTTTGTACTACTTTCAGAAGAAATTTGACTAAAATAATTTACTTAATAAGTAAATGCTATTCTTCACTACGCCCATGGTTTGTTTATCATTTTGTTGTTGAAAATAGCTATTGGAGGGTTTTTTGTGGCTAAAGAGTTATTTCTTGAAGAAAGATAGGGAAATATCTCGTACTTATTTTAAATAGGAATTTTGTACACAGTTTGCGATTGATATGACCAAACTTTGTCGCAACTGTCAAACCAACGGCTTGAGTGTGACTGATCTTTTCTGCACTTGCATCCTGACTACGTAGCTTCAAACCAAAACTAATTTATTGTGTGTTTGCTCTTTCTTCTCGTTCTGACGTCGTCGGTTATAGTGGAAATAATGATTGAAACTATGCAGCTAATAATACTAGCATAATTATTTATTACTATCCTGTGATCTAAATGCCAAAACAAAATTACTCAAAAGTACAAGATAGTCATTTGGAACTCAAAAGTGGGTCGACTAGCAACCACAACCATCAAAACTGCTTGGTAATAATTTGATAGCACTCCCGCCAATATCATACGATAAAGTACGAGCCCCTTCCCACTTCAGTTGGTCCAACTATTGAAATATTAGTTTTTTTCTTATCAAACACAAATAATAAAAATGTAGCAGGGTGTTATAGGTTTAAAATATTAACAATAAATATTTTGATAATATATAGTAGAAAACACCAACTTTTATCACTCCCTAATCAAATTTGCAGCATAAAAACACATGTTGCAATTACAGCATATCAACCTATTTTCATTTCAATGCAAAATAAGTCTATAACGCATAGGTGGCTATGAAAAATAAAACCTATTTTCATTTCAATACAAAATAAGTCTATAACGCATAGGTGGCCGTGAAAAATAAAAGCCATGACAATTGTTTTTATTAATCACAGCTGTCAGAATACGTTTAAAATAGTTTTGGGTAGTTAAGCTTTTCAAAATGGGTAGAAGAAAGGTTATTAGTGAGAAAATTCGGTTACTGATAGTTAAATTTTTTAATTCTGGGAAATCAAACTCAGAAATTGCAACTTTGTTAGACTTATCGCGGTACAGTGTGAGAAATATTGTTGGAAGATATAACGTAACATGTTCAGTTAATATTAAGCTACGATATATGAAAAAAAGTAATATCACAAATGCCGACCGAAGAGCATTAAGAAGAATAATCGTGAAAAACAGGCGTGCCAATTATTTACAATTAAGTGTTCTGTCAAGTGACGCTGTTGGAAGGAGAATTTCGAGGTCCACAACTCATAGAGAGGCCAACAAACTGGGATTTACCACTTGCAAGGTAAGTTTTCTTATAAGAAAGAGTGAAGTAAAAACCCTAAAGTTGTATATATTTTATTGCATGTATTTTTTACGACTAGAGTGTATCTAAAATGTCTTTGAGAAAATAAATTGTTTTAGAAGTAAATAGTTTCGTCATGTTTAGTTTTTAAAGGCATATTTTGGTACAAATCTTGAAGTGGGCCAACTGAAGTGGGAAAGGGCTCGTATATACGCACTCCCGCCATTTTCAACAGGTATACGTGTATACGCACACCCACCTTTTCTTGCAATTTGAAGCATTTCATTTTTGTGCTTAGAAATTAAATGTTTCACGGAAGATCGTTTGACAATAACCTCAATGATCTATGCATGTCAAAATGTCTCTACCAGAACCGATAATAGTAAGACCAGATGGAAATATAACGGTATTTGGATTGAACAACCATTTTTCGTCAGCAATGCCCAACAAGTTAGTGTCAGTGGTAGCGCCGGATGAATACCAACATACTATCCGGAAAGTTAACAAAGTATTGGATGAGAAATTGTTTCTCAACATAAAAATGTTACTTGGCAGTTGTATCTGTTTCTGCTGTACTTTGGGACTGTCGATGTGTGCCCCAATAGTCGTCAATCAAAGGACTAAATATAGAGTTCAACATATTTTAGAAGAAGAAAACAAAAGGTGAGGATTGCTCATATATATACTGACAGATTAATCGAATCTTAGAACTTAGTATGATCTCGAAAACGTAAAATTGACGCTTTCTACTTCAACCAGACGTTAAGAACCTTTGGTATGTGTGTCTTATTTTCTAAATTTCGTAAGGGCTGATTCACAATATACATAGAGAAGCCGGCTGCCCAAACTTCGCCCCATAGCACAGAATAATGTCATTATTATTATTTTTATTATTACATAGATTGTTCTTTTATAATGTCGTATGGGATTAGTCTTGATATTTTTTGTTTTTCTTTATGTATATTCAATTTGATTTTATTTTCTTTTTCACACAGTGGGGTTAAGTGTAAGAGTATGCCCTAAACTTCGCTCCTCCAATGTGTTTCGAAACAGTCCTTTAATATTGTTGTTCCGTAAAACAAAGTACTACACAACTATCAACTATCAATCATACCTGTATTTATGTATTAGTATTGTTGCGTAGGAAGTGCACAGTCAATCTACTTGGCGCCATTGTTTCTAGACAGCATAAAAGCAAAACTTTGAGAAGACCAAGTATCTCTACTTTTTTTTGTATTACCATAGCACACATTTTGGACATTTTTGATCGATTAGTTTAGGTCTAAATTTAAATTTTAAAAACTGATTGAATTATACTCTAGTATTTGATTTCTTGTAGATTGTATAACAAACTGGGGCTGAGCTGGACGCTAGACAAGCACTACTACGGGCCCCCTCCTGCTAAAGAATACGTCCTGAAAATCGACTTCCTGCAAAAACCGAAGCTGTGTTCGCCAGATTAGCGATGATATCGTTACCACAACAACGCCGTTAAACAATTTTGTACGATGTCTCGTTTGATAATTAACCTGTTCTCCAATTAGAAATGTTGTAAGTTGAAATATTGCTGTCATTCCGCCTAGATCACTAGCCGCGATAAAATCGATCGAAAAGTTTGAGGAGATAAGGGGTTTGGTCGAGAAAAAGCAGGGGTGCCACATCGAGAACGTTAAAAAAGGTTTGTTGGGCATAACGAAATAATTTGTTATACGTTTTTTCAGAATTCTTTGCTCTTTAGATTCAAGTGGCTTAAGGTCAGCTGGTGATCGATATACTACGATATTACAAGTTACTAGTAAACCTACAATAATCAAGACGTTCCATTAAAAATTAGTCAAAAAATGTCGTGCAAAAGTTGTGGGCTCTAGTATACGGTTTTTCGTTGCTGGTTGTCTCAGAAAAGCTTTATGTTCATAAACAGAACATCATGTAGATTTTTGATGAAAATAATAGACGCTTTTTAACAACTCCAAGTGCATATTATACGTATTTTTAACTTAGACAATACCTAGAATTTTGTGCATCAAAGTATAAACTAATTTTCGACTATATATGTATATTTGAGCGAGACACAAAACTTTTGATTAAAGTGATGCAAATAAATATAACAAACCAAGTATATATGGAATCAGAAAAAGAAGCAGGCATCATTTTCATACAAAATGCACAGGGTGTTTCATCCCAAAAATGCAGAGACCCTGTATACATAAAAGATCCTGTATTAAAAACTGTATATTAGATCCTATAACTTTCTTTACAAAGGTCATATAAAAAATTTAGAGAGGATGGGGTTCAATTTATAGCCTCTCCGACCATCAGACTTGTGCTTTCTTGATTATTCCCCTTTACGGCCATCTCGAGTTATTATATACTAAGTGACATATAAATCCGAACATCCAGTTTAAATGGTTTTATTTTAATAAAAGTTGGTGAATGTATTTATCTTACTGTAAATAACAAGTGAAAACATTTTCGGCCTTATCAGTTGGACATTCCGGTTTTTAATTCACTAACGCTCTAAAAATGAATATTTCAGCCGCAGTACAGAATCAACGTTGGCGGATTTTGGTTCTTGGCATCCTTTACGATCGGTTACGATGCCTAGAGTACGGAGACCTGTACGATTTCGTCAACTTAGTGAGTTTGATAGGGGCCGTATAGTGGGACTTCGGGAAGCTGGGCTTTCTTTTCGGGCAATTGCAGTTAGAGTGCAAAGAAGTGTAGACACTGTGGTTAGGTGTTGTCAGGCATGGCTTCGAGAAGGCCGTACGCAAAGAGCAAGGGGCACTGGACGCCGCCGTAGAACAACAGACCGTGAAGATCGCCGCCTAAGATTATTGGTCTTAAGGGACCGTTTCTTCACTACCAGGTCCATTGCAAATGAATGGTTTGCAGAACACGGAAGACCTATTGGCATGCGAAGTGTTTAACGACGAATGAGAAGTTTTGACTTGTTTTCATACCGGCCACACTGGGTCCTCCCTTTAACTCGAGAACACCGACGTAATCGCCTTGAGTGGTGCAGACAACGGTCACTCTGGGATCAGGAATGGAACAGTATTGTCTTTAGTGACGAGTCTCGATTTTGTTTAGGCATGCACGATGGTCGTGCCAGGGTTAGAAGGCGACGTGGTGAAAGGAGGAATCCACAGTTTTTTGTTGAAAGACATGTTCATCACACTGTTGGAGTTATGGTTTGGGGTGCTATAGCTTATGGTTCCAGGTCACCATTAATCTTCATCAGAGGTAACATGAACGCGCAGAGTTATATCCACGAAGTTCTAGAACCCCATCTTTTACCCTATCTTGACACCCTGGCAGATCCAACTTTCCAACAAGATAATGCCCGACCACATGTTGCAAGAGTCACAATAGACTTCTTTCAACATTGTTACCATGGCCACCAAGATCTCCCGACTTATCCCCAATTGAGCACGTGTGGGATATGATGGGTAGGAGATTGCTCAATTTGCAACGTCCTCCTCAGACTCTAGAAGCACTTCGAGAGGAGTTGGTGGTTGCCTGGAATGAGATACCACAGGAGGACATTGACCACCTGATCAGAAGCATGCCTAGGCGCGTTGGAGAATGCGTAGCACATCAGGGTGCATCCACACATTACTAAAGGTCAAAGGGCAGTGCAATCATTTTGAAATTTTTATCATTTACTTATTATGCTTCATTAAGTACTTATACAAAATTTTATTAAAATAAAACCATTTAAACTGGGTGTTCGGATTTATATGTCACTTAGTATATTATTATAGCCAGGTAGGCCGTAAGACGTTTCTCCCTTCCGATCAAAACTATAATGTGTAAATGAACGTATCTCGTATATGAATGAGAGTGTAACATTAAAAACCTGTCTATCATACCTTCGTTTGAAATAACCGTCATACCTGAACACCCAGCTCGCTCATTCAGTCAACACAGACAGACGCTGGAATGTCATTCTCGTTTACCAAAAATGGGCGGTTTCCGTTTTTGCCGGCGACATTCTACAAGAACCGCATGTCGATACGTTTCAGAATGATGATGAAGAAGTATCAATTCAATTACAGAGCACAGATTTTATAAGTATGTATAGACGTCGATGAGTTATTTCGTACTTGAGAAACCAACTCTCTAATGAGGAATCTGCAACCTGATCAAGAAAGGAATCAGAGTTACCTAAATACGCCTGTTATACATGGCAGTGGGCATTTTATGTATCAAATCAAAAGGCTCTAAACAATTTTGCACGAAATTTGCTCATACAAAGTTCTGGCGATATTAAATTCAGCAGAAATTTCGTATCAAATCGACGTGCAGTCATGTTTACAAACGCAAAGAAATTTCGTCCAAGCTATTAAGAAGGAAACACGCGTTGTGGAAAGCACATTTTTTCCTCGTCTGGAAATGATACACATTAACATAATGCAGAGTATACACCTGCGGCGACGCGTCTCTGGGCAGCGATTTTTTGCTCGCTTGGTAATTTACGTCTCTGGATAACCGATATTTCAACGCGTTATTAGCATTCGCGCTTTTCGCAGGATCGGATTTGGATAAAATAGAAGAATCTCCAGATTCATGAACTGTCTATTTAGACAGTTACTATACTAAGTGACATATAAATCCGAACACCCAGTTTAAATGGTTTTATTTTAATAAAAGTTGGTGAATGTATTTATCTTCCTGTAAATAACAAGTGAAAAAATTTTCAGCCTTATCAGTTGGACATTCCGGTTTTTATACTGCTTTTTTTTAATTCACTAACGCTCTAAAAATGAATATTTCAGCCGCAGTAAAGAATCAACATTGGCGGATTTTGGTTCTTGACATCCTTTACGATCGGTTACGATGCCTAGAGTACGAAGACCTGTACGATTTCGTCAACTTAGTGAGTTTGATAGGGGCCGTATAGTGGGACTTCGGGAAGCTGGACTTTCTTTTCGGGCAATTGCAGTTAGAGTGCAAAGAAGTGTAGACACTGTGGTTAGGTGTTGTCAGGCATGGTTTCGAGAAGGCCATACGCAAAGAGCAAGGGGCACTGGACGCCGCCGTAGAACAACAGACCGTGAAGATCGCCGCCTAAGATTATTGGCCTTAAGGGACCGTTTCTCCACTACCAGCTCCATTGCAAATGAATGGTTTGCAGAACACGGAAGACCTATTGGCATGCGAAGTGTTTACCGACGAATGAGAAGTTTTGGCTTGTTTTCATACCGGCCACACTGGGTCCTCCCTTTAACTCGAGAACACCGACGTAATCGCCTTGAGTGGTGCAGACAACGGTCACTCTGGGATCAGGAATGGAACAGTATTGTCTTTAGTGACGAGTCTCGATTTTGTTTAGGCATGCACGATGGTCGTGCCAGGGTTAGAAGGCGACGTGGTGAAAGGAGGAATCCACAGTTTTTTGTTGAAAGACATATTCATCACACTGTTGGAGTTATGGTTTGGGGTGCTATAGCTTATGGTTCCAGGTCACCTTTAATCTTCATCAGAGGTAACATGAGCGCGCAGCGTTATATCCACGAAGTTCTAGAACCCTATCTTTTACCCTATCTTGACACCCTGGCAGATCCAACTTTCCAACAAGATAATGCCCACATGTTGCAAGAGTCACAATAGACTTCTTTCAACATAATGATGCCACATTGTTACCATGGCCACCAAGATCTCCCGACTTATCCCCAATTGAGCACGTGTGGGATATGATGGGTAGGAGATTGCTCAATTTGCAACGTCCTCCTCAGACTCGAGAAGCACTTCGAGAGGAGTTGGTGGTTGTCTAGAATGAGATACCACAGGAGGACATTGACCACCTGATCAGAAGCATGCCTAGGCGCGTTGGAGAATGCGTAGCACATCAGGGTGCATCCACACATTATTAAAGGTCAAAGGGCTTTAAAGCAGTGCAATCATTTTGAAATTTTTATCATTTACTTATTACGCTTCTTTAAGTACTTATACAAAATTTTATTAAAATAAAACCATTTAAACTGGGTGTTCGGATTTATATGTCACTTAGTATATAGCTTCAAAGATTTTTTATTTTCAAAATATATTCTGACCGAAATGCCTCTGGATACGGTTCTGCCTTTCCGGAGGTGGTTGAAACACATCGGTATAACTCATTTGCTAATCAGCGTATAACACAGTAATTAGTCATTGGTTAAATAAGATGTTTCGCAGTTAATCAAATAATATATTTCACCTTCATTTTTTCTTCCACTGACACGTTCGTAATAGCGGTTCTGAAGTATAATTCATCAACCGAATGACTTTTGCAAATCGAGGGTACACCACACGCATATATCTACACAAGCATATTCCACAATATATACTTCACCGTTGCGAATTTATGCATGTGTAAGACGTAGAGTACTTAACGCTTAGCTGCGGGCTCTAAGACCGCTCTAGCAATATTGCAACTTATTCAGAACAAAATCCTGCAAGAAAGTGTATTGTCTGGACATACAACAAATATAACTTTTGTAGGTTCTAGAATTGCTGCATCAGGAATTTCCTGTCCGTGAACTCTGTCATTTCGGTGACATTAGAAAAATAATTTCTACG